AGCTGTTCCTCTCTCTGCCTCCGCATCCTCCTTTCAAAGAGCTCCTCATCCATATACTCTGGCTCGAAATGGTATGGGACGTCCATCATATTCAAAGTCGTCGTCCACAACCTCAAAATCTGACAAATATTCAGCCATGTTTCAAAAAACTAACAGTAGCAAATTCCAGCTGTAAACAGAGCCGTGCTGTGGGTGTGCGGCGGCGCGCGCGGCCCACGTGGATGACCACATCCAGGTCAGACGTTAGTAGGTCAGTATAAATGACCCGGATGATGATGACAAGCAACTCTAGCGATTCATAAAAACATATTGGTGAAATGAACGAGTTTCGCGGTAGATAATCTCATTGTCGGTGCCCCGATCACTCCCACTATATGGATGTACGCGGCTCTCGCGGATCTAAATATCTTCCGAAGGACTCCAAATGACATCAAACTTATCTGGGTGAGTAAACAACCGTATTTAATGCCAGAAATAAGGTCCAGGTTGTAAAAAACAGAACTTTCCCTTTAAGGTATGCAGGTTAGGTTTAGAAAAGAAACATGTTACATTAGGTACTTAATGTAAAGTTATGTTCTTAATGTAATGTTACATGGGTTAGATTTAGAAAGAGTGATAACATACCTAAGAAATAACTCAAAATTCGCTTGGCTTTTTACATGATCCTGAACACTGGCCTTCTGGGGGAAAGTCCTGTGTTTGTTTGACCCATCCCCCCAACCTGCATCCTTGCATGGACTTTAGCTATTTATACTACTTCCTTCTTTACTACCCTCAGAGCATTGGTCACAGCCTTTCTGATTACATGAGTTCTACATAAATACTGGCTCATGATTACAAGGGTTATACGCAGAATTGGTGCATTATTTTTTGTACGTATACATACAAACAGTAGATGAGAACAGCCTTAGCATACAGTATACACATATTGTAGTTATGCAGTAAATAATGTTCTTTTCAAGTAAAGGAAGCAGTATACAGTGGTTCTAAACCACTTTTAAGGATGTGACATTTTCAGTGCCCACTAAAGCAACAGCACACAACAGGTTCTGCATGACCAGGATTGACCAGGCACCCGTCAACTTGCCTTTATCCCCGCTGCGCCCTCAACCCACCCCTAATCTGTCTGATCGATGGCCCTGGACCGTCGTCACCAGGCAACCAAGGATGACACCAAAGCTCTGGTAGTGTGCGGTATACCTAACAATCAATCTACCTAAATCATCAATCAAACACTATCAGAAATCATGTGGGGAAAATACCTAAAGAATTGTAAGAAAGGCAGAAGAGGGGCACTTATTAAGGATAAATCAATCTCTGGATCCTCCTGAAAGCACAGAGAGAATTGTTCTATGGGTTGCGACAAAGAGCTCCTGTCAGTGGGATGATGAATGGATGGCGAGATGGTATCATCATCAACACAGGCTCAGCCTGTGCTGCAGTGCCTCACAAGACTCCAATAAAAGCAGGTTCACCCTGTGCACAGGTGACACCTTCTGCCTTTCTGTTTTTTCAGCACTGGGCCTCTTGGGATGGACAGGTCCTTGCATCTGATGAGAAAGTAGTTTAATATCTTCAGCTCTTGAGGACAGACTGTTCTGAAATGAACGCTAGAAATGCAGAAGCAAAACAGATGCCCACTTTGTCACAGAGAAATCCATTTCGGCTCAGATCTAGATGACTCTCTGATTAATAATGACTCTTGTTGTGCGGCAAGGCCACTTTCCCTCTGATTATATTCATGAGATGTGAGCAATGGTATCGGTTCATATCTTGTTGTGAGCCAGATGTCACAGGTCTGGGTATATTTTTTCTTTGAGGTTTCAGACTTACAGAACTGCTCTATGGCTCAGACGCATTTCCTGTGGTGACCTTAGCATCCTCACAGGAACTTTCATGTCTATCTTTAGCAACAGCACATCATTTTGATTTTAGTCCGGCAGTCTGTCATGTCTTTACACTTTCTCTCTCCATGATCTGACCACGTCCTTTACAAAAGCACAGATTTGAAGTTGACAATTTATCTTGTTCCTCATCATCATAGTGACTTTCACTCACTCTCACCACATGACTGATGATTTAAGCTTTAGCGTTACACTAGTTCCCTTTTTTTCCTATCTTTTCTTTCCCCTCCATTTCTGCATGTTTACATGTGTGTGGCTGAGACAGCTCGTGAAGCCTGTAATTGAGTGTGTCCGCCCACCGTGTTTGCAGCAGAGACAGCGCAATGGAAGGCTTCATTGTGTCAGGCACAATAGATACATACACATACTCATCACACCCTTCTCACACTGCCACAGAACCACAACACTGGGGAGCCATTAGTAGAAGCAGCAGCGGAGAACATAGTGGATTTTGTGGCCCAACTCCATCACTCGAGCACAACCTCAGCATTACCTTTACGCTTATAAGCAATGAACCAAACAGTCCAGTGGCTTCTTTTATCTCCTATTTTACCCCCAGATTAAGATGTAACCTATATAGAAGATTAGATTAGTGCATTTGACCTTGTTTAGATTCAATTAATGCATTCAGGATTATAGTAAACAATAGATTCCCTCAGGTTACGCTTTCTCTTAAACCATACTTCTTATCACACTTGTTTTGTGCATGTGTGTTGCGTGTAGAGGTGTACCTATATGTTGTGAAAGTGTGACTGGGCAGTAAGATGTGGTTGCCATGGTTCCCTGCTGCAAGGACCTATTCAATCACCAAGAAAAACAGCATACATTTTGTTCTTTCTTATTCCTGCAACACACGTGTGATAGAACAAAATGCCATCATGTATGTCCAGATATTTGTCAATGTGCCTTTAATACTTACCATGCTGGCATTGTGTTGTATACCACAGACTGCACTGGAGCATGTCAAGGACAGATAAAAAGGGGTTTCCTGTTGATTGTGCTTGTGGCTGTTATCAGTTCTTTCTAACAAACCACACTGTGGTCAAAGCATATTTGTATGTTATGGTGCAGCACGTTAATCATGCTTATTGCAATGTATAGATGCAAATTAGACTTCAGACATTGTGGAAGTTTGAATTTTGATAGTAATATAACATGAACTGAAACTGCCAGCCAATATTTTAGATGTTTTATTTTCTTTTTCTAAATTTGACTTTTTTCATCAGTGGTGTAAGAAGACATTGGATCCTTTGCTTGAGTAAATGTATTGGTTCTATTAAGCATCAAAAAGTGTATTTAGTTAGGACCTAACACACATATTCTTTGATCAGATAAGTCCTACTAAGTCATAATCAGAAACTGTATAAAATAATGAATTTAGCTATCACACACTGGTTTGTGAACTCTTGTTTCCAATCCTGGAGTTTGGCATTTTGGCTGTCGACATCTTGGATTTTTTCGCCATATTTGGATGAGAGGGTGGCGCTAACCCTAATGCAGGGGAAAGCAACCTCCAGCTCTGTAGCCACATGCCGCTCGTTGGCCCCTCTCCAGTGGCTTCCAGTGGCAAAAAAAAAAAAAAAAATCTTTTGTTGTGGGCCTCAAGACTTTCTTACATTTTCTATTTATACAAATGTGTAGCCTATACACTGAATCAAAAGAAAAGTTTTCACATTTCGTCAACTGTGTCTACGGACTGGCGCCTTTTCCTCTGAATGGTGCTGAACCTTATTAACGGTGGCTAGCCTTGAGTCTCCCCAGTGAGTCTAGTTATTGATTAAAAATCCAAAAATAGAAAGTTCTCAGAGAAAAATAAAGATATTAATAACTGTTGGACACATTTGTTACCAAATATTCATTAACAGCCCACTGCAGATTAGCAACCTTGTGGTAAAATATATTAATGAATGCTCATTCAGACATATTAGTAATGCTGATAGGCCAATTTAGACGTAATAGGTTGTTTTACCTTCATAATAAGGTTTAAATATGTTTTTTGTTTTTTGTTTTTTTTTAAATTTTGGTCACAAATGGCTCTTTTGATGGGAATGGTTGCTGACTCCTGTCGTAACACTAGCAGCTAGCTTGGTCATTACGGTGCATTTAGAGCTACAGTAAACTGTGATCATGCTAATCATAATTTTTGCTAAAACCGCTGTAGGCTACTGACTGGAAAACTGAATATCTGACTCCTTAAAGGGTCTTTTAGTACAACGAAACACTGAACAAGACTTTTTTAGAACGCAAGGGTTGCGTTACTCAACAAGAGTTGTTGCCATCGTAGCGTCATGTCAGCAGATAGAGCCTTTAGGTCATGCAAAGTGTCCACGCCCTTAATTATGTATAATTTTAAGCCCCCCCCCGGATAGGTTCTGTAAACATGTATATTTCTAATGTGAAGTTGAGCATTTCTATTGGGGGGTTTATGAGGACTGACTCAATTTTGGACCCAGCCTCAAGGGGCCATTAGAGGAACTGCAGGTTTTGACTTTATTTTTCGGGCCTGATGGTTGATGCTTAGTCTTAACTTATCTTACTACAAGTCAAAACTTTTCCAGTTTTATTCTGTATAGCTACTTGCGTTGTCAAAAAGGTACTGTTTTGTATATTTCTTCTCAGGTATCATATTGACAGCTGTATCTAAAAATGTCAAAAGATGCAGAGCTCTGCGTCTCACCAAGAGTAATACAAATGCAAAGCCTCTTATAAATTTAGATCATTAAAGACGTTTAAACTCTCCACTGAAAGCTGGACCAATTATTGTGCTCCCTCAAATAGAGTTACTGACAGTGCAGGTTTTGCAGATTGACACATTGAATTTGTTGAGTCAACTCAACCCATCATATCGGATGGGGGATGACATTGAAAGGCAGATAAACCCATTAAATGTACCAACCCTAAATGTATTGTAAACAATCCCTGATTATCTCACTCACTGCAGTGAGAAGCAGTATACAAAAATAACTGACCACACAACTATTCCAAACACGCAGCCACGACCACTACGAAATTAACTTCCCCTGTCTTTGCTTAACACAGCAATTACTCTATTTTGCTCTCCTTTGATCCTCTCTTTTCATCTTCTTTTGTGTTCAGTGAGAGGAAGAGAGTCAAACCAGAGAGAGAAAGAAACGAGGGGGAAAAACAGAGAGGAAAGCGACGATGGAGTCCATATTGTCGGAGCAGTCAGCCGGAGTGGACGAGCTAGTGGAAGCATGCATCCAAGCCTTTGGTTGGTCATTTGAACACATTTCTTTGAAATTGTATTCATTAATTGAGTGAGTAAAAACAAATTATTATTATTATTATTATTATTATTTTACCATAATTCTTGTACTTAATGTCATTATGTGGAATTTAGAAAAAATGTCTTCTCCATGGTGCTGGACACATTGGTGATCAGGCTATGACCCACACTCACTGACCACCAAAGATACGATAAGATCTAACTGATAGCAGGTGATGCTTGCCCTGTGATTTTATCTTCCTGATGATGAACCATATTTTGTTGTCTTCTTATAGATGAAAGGGGCACTTTGAAGGATACCTCCTTGGTTCGCATGTTTCTCATGATGCACCCTTGGTACATCCCGTCAACCGACATGGCGAAGAAGCTAGTGCTCAAGTATCCTTCACCTTTGTTTTCAGCTACCTCAGAGATGTTTTCCTTGGTGCTTGTCTACAAATATCACTTCACACGCTGCTGACAGAAAAAAGGAATCAAGGCCAGATCGTTTGTTTTTTTTTTTTTTCACTGTTCTCTTAAATCTGTTAAATCTTTATGAGATATAAGAGAGAGTTTTTGCTTCAAAGTTGCACCTTGACTTTTAGATAAGATCTCAAGAGGAGAGCTGCACTGCTGAGCGCCGAACAAGAATATGCCACCTTGTCAAGTAATAAACTGTCATCTTTTTTTTATTTCTTCTCATGCAAGTTCTCTCTGAACTTCAGTCTGATGATTCATTTATGAGTTTGTGAGTTGACAGTTGAATATTGACAGTAACAACACGTCATGCAGAAATTGTCTGACTTGGCGAAAATCATCACATAAAACAATCAGGGAAAGGTCTTAAACGTTAGATCGCATTATTGTGTTGATGTAAACAAGTCTCTCTCCCCCTCCAGTATTTTTCATCACCCTTCCCTCTTTTCATCTCTTTGTTCTGCCTTCCAGGTACTGGATCTCTGAGTTTCCAGCAGAGTTCAATCTGAGTCCGGAGCTGGCTGACCAGATCAAAGACTTTAAAGACCTCTTGACCACTGAGGGCAACGAGCGCCAGAGTCAGCTCATTGACCTCGACAGTGTGTGAGTGAATTGCTCGCTGAAAGCTGCATGTGTTGTTGACAGCCTGAATGAATGTCTCTGTCTGTGGGCGTTTATGTCAGCATGCCGTTTTTATTGCCTGTTCTCAGAGATTGCTGAGCTGTGCTATGCGGGGTCAGCGACTTCTCTTTTTCCCATAAAAGCCATTTCTGTGTGACCTCGACTTCCCTTTAGTGTCCCATAAGTAGAAGGCTTTGTGACTTACTGCAGCTGAGTGTTTGCAAATGAGGGAATGTCTTTCCAGGAATAAATTCTGCATTTACAGAAAAAGCTCAATAATGGTACTTTTTAGCCAAAAGACCCAAAAGGAGAAAACCTTTTGTAAAATATCCTCCAATTTTTGTGCTTCTCTCAGGCCGTCATATAAATGGAAGCGACAGGTGACTCAGCGTGTCCCATCAGTGTCCAAAAAGAGGAAAATGTCCCTGCTGTTTGACCACCTTGACTCCTGTGAACTGGCTGAACACCTGACCTACCTGGAGTACAAATCCTTCTGCAAGATCTTGGTCAGTTTGCCTGCAGTCTGTGCTGAAGTTGTGTATATCTACTGTGATCTTTACAGCTCTTAAATTCTTTCAGTTCTCAAGTAATGTCACAGGCTGCAGGCTTATATTAGTTGCTAAGCAATAGTGGGTAAAATGACTTTTATTGGTGGTAATTATATTTGTTTTCTGGAAGCATTTTGCCCTTTGAGTGTTATTTTGGGAAGCAGAGGCAGTGACTGGGTGTGTGCTGATTTAGATGCTTTTAGATAATTTATTCAAGTGTGATGGTGTTGGTGGCAAGATGGGGGCAGCGGTGGTGATTTGTCTTGGCTTTGTCTTTGTGTGTCTCCTTATAAAAAGATTCTGGCTCAATATAAAACAAAATAAGCCACGAAGAACAGAAATATAGAGAATCTAGCCTTTTGGTCATAATGTGCAGTAATGATGCTTTTCTGTATGTAGAGTAGGTGAAAACAAATCTGTTTTTTTTTCTTTGTATTTCCCACATTAAAGGTTGGCTTAATCAGTCAGTGAATCGGGCAGTTGGCTGCTTTGTTATCCACACTGCTTCCCTAAAGGAATAGTTCAGCAATTTGGTAAATACAATTAAAATACACTAGAAAAATCAAATCGGACAAAGCCAAGAAATAGAAAGTTTTATTAAGTCCTTGTAATGCAGTAAATAATTGGTTTTACACTTTCCTATCTGTACAGAGTAAAGCTGAGGTAGGCATAAATCTGGAAAAGGCAGAATTTAAAATTACACCCTCCTCCTGCCCCATACATTAAGTGTTTCCCATGCAGTGATTTAATAAATCTTATTCACCCCGCCCCTGTTTATCAAACAAATACAACAAGGATTAGCTGCTAGCCACGCCACAGTCCCTCCACCTCTCTCCCTGCCGCTGTGGACTGCTTCCCCAAGAGGAGAGCCGGTAGCAGCACAGGGGGACAGATCTTTGGTCACGGCTGTAACAGCTGGAATTTGGCTGGCACAAACCCCTCCAACGGCCAGTGGCAGCCTTAGGTCTAAGGCCCTGATCACACAGAAAGCACACTGCCTTTTGTTTAGGTGGAGGAATTAAAAAAAAAATCCTTCCTGCATCTCTTTATTGTTGCCAGGCAACCACCCCATCACCTCCTACCCTAACCATGTAATCAATCATCCGTTTATTTTATTTTATTCATTTCACAGTAATTGGTAGCAAGTTCCTAAAATGGACAGGTAGAGGGTACTTGCTCTGTTTGAGAGTGAGAGGCTGTCAGTAAATAGTTTGTTGGGCACAGGGAAATGGAGATCTATGTGGGTACATGAGACCCTAAAAAAGAAGGTCGATTACAGGGAGTACCACCAATTGGTCCAGGAGCTTCACCTAGATAACGGCCATATCAAGTGCTGCACTTATATGCTTTCACGCCTACTGATTTCTATTGAAATTGTGAAGTTGTATAGCTTTTTGTTTCTCCTACCTAACTTGAGGAGTTCAGCGCGCTCTGGCAAAAATGCCAGGCAACTAGAGTGCAGAAAGGTGAGGCGCTTAGTAATGCAAAAACAGTGAGCAAAAAGCTTCATTGTCATTAAAAACAATCACAAAATCACCTCCAGCTGCTAAAATGCTTTCTGTGTGATCAGGGCCAAACCTGTGTGACAGCAGCAACAGAAAGTTTGCTGAGCCTGGCTGGCTTTCGATTGCTATGGCTGCCGAATGGGGGCTCTCCTGATGAGGTGGTCTGTAGCTGCAGGGAGTGAGGTGGAGGACACACTGTGATTCAAGGCTCTAGCTAACATTAGCTACTTAAATTTGAACTTAAGGCTGCAGCCGTTAGCCTTTGGCTCTGGTTTGCAGAAAGCTAAACTATAAGCAACATACTCTTCAACTTTTGCACCAACAGCCAATAGACACCTCCTCTCTCTAAAATGACCTATGATTGGCCAAAGTCTCCAGTCATGGGCAAAATTTTCTAAAGCCTGAAAACAGAGCCAAGAGGAGGTGCAGAAGTCTAACATGGTCAAAAGTTATTATGGGATTTGTGTCCAGTGATGCCCAAATAAAATTGCCTACCCCATGTTAGTGAGCTTTAAGGGTGCTGGATGGTGGATTGGATTATACTTTCCCCAAAATGTAAATGTAATGTAACTCAGTATGTCTTTTGTTAGACCTTTTCCTGACATTTTACAACAACATTTGAGGATATAATCTTCTGGATATGCAAAAATACTGGGATATACAGTAAAATGTGTCATGCCCCTTCCTGCTTTCAGTTTCAGGACTACCACAGCTTTGTGATGCACGGCTGCACAGTGGATAACCCCATCCTGGAGCGTTTCATCACCCTTTTCAACAGCGTCTCCCAGTGGATCCAGCTCATGGTTCTCAGCAAGCCCACTGCCCCGCAGAGAGCCGCCGTCATCTCCCACTTCATCAGAGTGGCACAGGTCTGTCTCTTGGGCCTGTTAAGACTGCAGACCTTTTTCAGACAGAGCTGGAGGGAGTTTTGGGGTTCAGGGTGCATGTAGAGGCAGACTGATAAGAGGTAACTGCCTGGAGCCACAGAGCAAGAGGAGAGGAAGTCGTAAAAAGGTGTATTACAGATAAAACCAAGAGATGTGGAGAGAAGGGGAAAAGTCAGGGTGAAGCCTTGATGATTTGCACACACATACGGATATGATCATTACCGTTCAGTGTGAGGAAAAGTGAACTTAATTTAAAAAGGCTTTAGAGATATTAGCATGTTCAGATGCCCACTGAGAGCTCTTTAACATAATGCTGCTGTTAGAGGAAAGTGAATTAAGAAAGTCTTGTTTTAGCTGGGTGATGATGCATTTTTGGCAAAGCTTTTATGGGCCTAGGGGGTTGTTAAATTGTCTCAAACACTGGAGGAGCATGTAAAAATGTATTTAAAAGAATACAAATCACCTAAATTTGGGATGCAACATTTTCCACCCCAATTGCCAGAAGAAAATGTTGGCATTGTGCATATCAGCAAACAACGAATACATTACATTTACAGGTTTCTTACCTATTATATCAATGTTTCTAAAGTGATGCAGTTTATAAGCAGACTAACACATCGGGAGGTGGAGGGGATGGTGGATGGTGTGTCTCCTAGGCGAGGTGCTGCCAAGGTGCAGACCACTGCAGACCACTGTTTGAAACCAACAAACAGCAAAACCAATTGTGATTTGAAAATCTTTGCCATGTTTCTAACAGGCTATTAGGCACCAAACGTGGGTGTTTTGTAGTGACCGGTTGCAGTTTTTTCAGCAGTATTTCAGGGGCTAAGCGTGGGTTTTGTAGAGACCTGTTGCTTTTTTTTTTATTGCCTTTTAAGGCACCAAATGTGGATGCTGTTTTTGTGACCTGTTGCTGTTTTTCCATTCGCTTATTAGGCACCAAACATTGGTGTTTTGCAGCAACCTGTCACTGTGTTACCAGTGTTTTATAGGCACCAAGCGTGGGTGTTCTGTGGCGACCCATTGCTTTGTTTTCAGTGGGGATAGTGGCATGAAAAGCAATTGTTTTTTATCAAGACATAGCTGCTTTTCCAGCCAGGATTTTGCCCAAACTGCCAGAACATGATCTTGTCCTAACCAATACCAAGTGTTTTTTGTGCCTAAACCTAACCACATGTTAGCCACAGCACTGTTGAAACATAACGTTTCAGCGTATCTGCAATGTAATAACATGCAAATATAACCTATCCATGGTTTGCAGAAATGTACAGTGACAGCATTTTTTTCTGGCAATTGAGTTGAGATTTTCACAATTGAACGATAAAATGTCATAATTCCCAAAAGAGAATGAGCTTTGTTCTACAAAGAAGAGAATGTACAAATAAGACACAGTGTGTCATTACTTAATTATGAATTATGTGCACTTTCTATTGGCTAGAAAGAATCAAATGATCCTTCTGTAAAATACTTGAAAATGTTGACATGTTGTTGGCCCTATGAAAAAGGATCCAAGTCATTAGGATTCATCTTTTTCGGAAAATCTGAACGAACTTTTGGGGTAGTCCATCTGATAGTTGTCATTATTTTTCATGTAAAAAAACAAAGATTAAAACTTAGAAGAAAAGTCGGGTTATCATCAATGTTAGGATTCATTGTCTAGGGGCCACGAATGAATGAATGAAATCTCTTGGAAGTGCATTAAATAGTTCAAAGTGGTGGACTGACTGACACTGCTATTCCTGGAGCCATGCTGCTATCATAGCGATAGATCTCTTTGCCCGCAAATTCTGCCTTCACTGGGAGGTCCAGGCTTGTCTTTACTTACTCATTCCTCTGTATGAGTCTGTTGTATTTTATATTGCTGGTTGCAAAGATTCCCCCCTGTATATTGAGCCTGAATAACAGTCTGACTCATTTAACTCCTTTGGCTGTCCATCTATCAACTTATCTCTTCATTCCTATGCTCAGCAACTGAAATCATGTGTGGTCATCCACAGGTCAACATAGCTCTAATCCTAATCTTAACTTAATCTGGTCTCTCCCAACCAACTCCCAAACAAAGTATCCAGCTTGCTGCCTTTTATGGTTCCCTGCACATATGCTTGGAGTCTGTCATTCTTTCACAACAGAGACATCCCTCTAAATGCCGTCCTGGGCTTCAGTGTAATTGATTTAATTTCAGTTTGATGTTATCATTTGGTCTGCCAGATGGGCTGGGTTCTCTCTCTATGTGACAATTCACTCATCTCTGTGAAAGGGAGCTTCAGTCGACCATAGAAAGAGCAGGAAAAAAAGAATATTTATCCCGATAGCCTGCAGTGTGAATGCATCCTCATTACTTATTGCAGGTCTGCTCCTGGACTGATACCCATTCTCCATCTATCCTTCCCTTCAGCTGCAGAACAAACTTCTGTCTCTCATAATTTATTTAGTGGGGTCTCAGCAGGTTAACACCTCCCTCTGTTTAAGTACAACAGCACAGCAACACCTCAGCAGAGCTCTTGTCTCGCGCTCTTGTTTCTCCCTCCTTGATATTGAATACTTGGACTTTCTCCAGTATTTTGTAAAGCTCTGACAGTGTTGTGGTGGAGACAGATGCTGATTCTGACCAGTCTTGTGTGGGATGAATGATTATGACAGATCAGCAGCAGAAGGCCTGAGAATAATCTCCTCCTGATCTAATGTCTCTATCCTCCTTTCCAAATATCACCACTCTATCTGTACCTTTCAGATCATTTGGAGTGTAATGCTAATAAGCATATGTTAGCATGCAAACATGCTAAAGTAAGATGATGACCATGCTAAATATTAGACCTGCTAAACACTGACATGGTAGCATTGTCTCTGTGAGCATATTAGTATTCTGACATTAGCATCACGCTCAAAGCATTACTGTACCTGAGGACAGCCTGACCGAGCTGCTAGCATGGCTATGGACTTAATCTTGTTACAAGACAGCATTGTTTGACAATGACAAAAGTTGAATCTGTCAGTACATTGCATGTAATATTCCTTACTTTTATATACTGTGCTGGCTGTTTTTAGTGGAACGATTACTGAACCTGGGCCTCACCTGCGAAATGTCACACAGATTAATATTAACTGACTAGGAAAATATTCAACATGACCACACAGAGATGCAAAGGCACTGCAAAGAGACATGAAGTAATTACAAAGGGCAAAGCCACCCAATAAACAAAACAGCCAAAAAAGACACTGAATTACCACAAAGAGACACAAAATTACCTCAAAGGGACATAATGATGACACAGAGACAAAAAAGTGATGCATTATAATGATAAGGAGATTTAAAACAACAACACAAAAAGAGGCTAAACAAATAAAAAGTGTGTTTCTTGCTCATACATAGGAGAGGTGGGGGGTCTTTTGCATACCAGCCCCCAGATTCCCATTGTCTGATATTCTTGGTAGTGTGTCCATATTAGAGGTGTAAATTCCTACTTTTATCACAATATAACATTATATCAATTCTTTGGACAACAATGCATTATTAGCTGATAACACTAAGTCTAACACAATAAGATTTTTATTCAGTTCAGGGGCCTTCAATCGATTTGAGGTTATGCCGTATGCAAATTTAACACATTTGGTTTCAGAAGAAGCTGTCACCCCTTCCTTTAAGTGAACTTTTTTTTTTCGCCTATACTTTTTCTTACTTAGATTTAGTTACTGCATCTCTCGACATAACAGAAACTTTGAATTCCATTTGCAGCCTACAGAGCAGCTAATATTTCCCTAGTGAAAGCAAGAAGTTAGCAGTGGCATTTTTTCCACATGGCATGTGCTTTGTCTGTTGACCCATCTTTTATCCAAAATCCAAAATATTTCCACTCTGCTGATTTATTGCCGAGAAGGGAGTAAATATCCTTGTCTTTCTGAGCTGCATTGTTTGATGGTGACACAGACGCACTATGGGAATATCAAAATAAATGCGAATCTTAAAGGGGTACGTTGCCAATTTTTAACCAGCTCTGTGTCACTGCAGTGTGGGCAGTGTGTGCAGTTGAGTGGAGTTGAGGCGCTCCCTGTATTATTATTAATGATGCAGAATGATGTGTTTCACATCAACTTGTGGACTTTGCTCATGGCATGGGCAGAGAGTTCATGGTGCTGCCGGCAAGGGGGGAAGCCAAGCATCATTCATCTGCACAAATTCCCCACATTGCGGAGACACAAGTTTCCCCTTAAAGATGATGATATGGATAAATGTTTTCATTGTGCGTTGATGATACTGGATGATACTGATCATTGAATTGATACATCAGTCCAGATCGACGGATCATTACACCCCTAGTCCTCATAAAGATAATCACTGTTTCTCATTTTGAATGTAATGCCCAGAGGTCATTTGGGACTGTCATCTATCCATAATGGGTGAACATTTGGGCAGATACATCAGAAACAGACTATCCCTGCTGGAAATCCTGTAGTCAATTCTCTGCCAATTTGAAACGCCTCAAATTTTGGTATTCAGAAAAGCATCCCAGTGTGAGCACATGCAGGGACAAAAATTATGTTCAAACTGATTTCAGATGTATTCAGAGGCAGCACAGAAGGTAGCCTTGACACACTTGACATTTCTCAAAGCTTCAGGGTGCGTTGGTTGTGTCCCATTTCAGCTTCCTGTTGGGCGTGCGTTACTAATGGTTCATGTTCATAAGACTTGACTGCACATTGTGTTATAATTTTAAATGCAAAAACATCCCTTTCATGCCTATTGTAAAGCTCCATTTCAATCAATTTTACAATATGTTAGGCTTTCATAAATAGCCACATCACCAATTGGCTCTGTGATAGCAATTAATTGACAAGAGGATGAATTCCATCTCCGAACCCCATCATACAATAAATGTATTGTATACCCAGTGGGAAGCCCTGGCATGTCGACAATGAAACCTTTCTCAGGCCTCGCTCATGGTCACATGCACGTGCAGTTTAGGCGAACGTACTCTGCGAATGCTGGGCTGCTTTCCACATTGCTTTGCCAATTGATTCTAAAGGGTGTTTGAGCTGAATCAAATGATCCCCTCTGGCAGCCCTCCCACACAGCTGCGACCCCATTGATTTTCTGTGAGATGCCATGCAGGCTGAAGGGCAGCAGGGAGCCCTGCAGAGCGCCATTCACAAAGTGTTAGCTTAAGTTTGACATAGACAGGTTAGAAAATTCAGTAATATCTTGGTAGGCCAATACTTTAATATGGTTATGTGTGGATGTGCATGTGGGCTGCTGAACAATAGTCTCTGGCTTTATATTTTGAGGGTTTACTCTTTCCTGACTCCTCATACTGTACATAGTTTTTTTAACCTGTGCCACCCTCATTCTTTTGCTCCCCTTTTTAGATCCTCTTTGGCAGTGGCTTTCACAGTCATTCACTGTCTGCTCTTTCGCCCTCACTCCTAATGTTTCCTCTTTCTCGTCCACAGAAGCTGCTGCAGTTGCAGAACTTCAACACACTGATGGCTGTGGTGGGCGGCCTCAGCAACAGCTCCATATCTCGTCTCAAAGACACGCAAACCCACATCAGCACAGAGACCAACAAGGTGCAGTATCCATCCTCCCAACCATCACTGATCTCTCTTTGGCATCAACAGCCTAACACTGCCACACAAATTCAATATTCACTGCATGTCGATGCTCTTAGCTACCAACTGATATTGGATCTTGATTCAGTAATCCACATGTCCTCCTTGTGAGCTGCCAAGCTCCTTATCTGTGCCTGTTACTCCTACACGGTGGCTTTTTAGAACCATGAATTTGAGCCATATAACTGGAATGCAACTGTTGTTGGGGGAGTTGCAGTCAGTTATGTAAGTCCATCTGGAGCAAAGTTTTCCAGAATGTTTGTGATACTTCTAAACAAGTCTCTCTTGAGATAGGCTTCCTGTTTGCTGCCAAGTCTCATCTCACCCCTTTCCATTTTGTCCACCCTTGAAGTGGAAATATACCCGTTTTTTGCTTTAATTCATCTTTATGAAGTAAATGTTCATTGAACAACAACAGTGAATGACTATAGAATAATGACATCACCAGCATTTAGATTGGTTCCCTGCAAGGCTTACTTTCACTGTGCAAGTCTGTCTGCCACTGTCTGCCACCTAACCTCCTAAGCCTAACCCTGACAACATAACCCTTAAATTATTTTCATCCCCCTCCATTTACTCAACCTGCAGGTTTTTAACAACCTCATTGAACTGGTCACATCATGTGGGAACTACAGTCAATACCGCAAGCGCTTCTCGGAGTGCTCGGGCTTCCGATTCCCCATTCTCGGTGTGCACCTGAAAGACCTCATAGCCGTGCACGTGGCGCTGCCAGACTGGGCCGACAAAGAGAAGACGCGGGTCAACCTGGCTAAGACCCAACAGCTGTATGCCATCCTGCAAGAGCTGGCACTGATCCAGGCCACGCCGCCGAACATCGACGCCAACACGGACCTGCTCAACCTGCTTACAGTGAGTGCAAAGAGTGGACAGAATGTGTATGTGCAGCGTCCAAGGTGTTAGGCTCAAATTAAAGATGTAACAGCTTGTGCCGGGTAAAATCAGGTCCTGAATCAGGTGCTGTGAGTTGGTTATTCATCAGAAGTGCAAAATTTGAAGGCGCCCAGACAGCATTGAAGTAGGAGGAAAAACTTTGAGAAGGCCGAGCACACAGCCGGTGTAAGAGGCAGTCTGTTTGATACACAGAATTTGTTCTGCCTTGATTTGATTGGCTCGTGGTCAGACCGACTGAACAGCAGCCAGCTGGGATGAAATCTGTGAACAGACAAAGGCCAGAGATTATACGTAACCGAGGCATTCAAAACATTAACCTCCAAGCTCATAGTATTCCTGTGTCTCAAATAGATGTGGTCCACGGTGGTAAGAGCAGCCTTTATATCATAATACAGGACTGCTGTAAAAATAGATTATATTGAGATTGACAAGCAATACATAATAGAGATAGGATTGATACTTCAACCTACAGTATTTTAACAATAAACAGCAGAATGTCATCTACTCAGTGCAGATAAAAAGTTTAAACCAGGAACCCGATCTGAGATTACTCTGATGACATCATCAGGATTATTTTTTCACTTTGGAAAGCTCCTACAGAGCCACAGAAAACATCAAAACTGTTTCCACAGGCTGCATAATAATGATGAGTACATTAAATATCTTTGGTTGACTGCTGAAACACTGCTATCTGGTTGCCAGACTCAATTTTCTAGCATTGTGCTGTCACCCAGGACAAAGAGTCACAACCTCAGTTTAAGCATGCCTTTGTTGAACTCCACTGAACTTTAAATTGTTAACCTGCTCTGAAACCTTTTGTCTGTTCCTGTATCCTAAGTAAAGACTAAAGAGCTTTTGCTGTCAGAATGTTTTGGCTTTGAAATGACTTAAAAGAGGACCTCAGTGGAGTCAGTTTCTCCTTTTAAATCTCAACACTTCTGCAGGGAAGTCTTGATTTTGAGAGATCGCATTGCTATATTGTGTCATCAGTGCTATCAAAGGGGACCTATTATGCTTTTTGTATTTTGTGTCTTAAAGTTACAATAAAGGACGTTCATATTAAATGTGGCCAAAGTTTCAAATAACTAGGCAAATATATGTAGCAATCCCTGTAATCCCTCATTTTGACATGAGAACTGTGCAGTGCTCTTGGCATTTTTAGCCAAATGGTTAGTAATCTTGTATCGTAATTACCAAGGCTGGGAGGGTCATTTGAAAACCATGTAACTCCAGCTTTGATGATGTTTTCTGTTCTTATTGCCTGGCATTGAAAGTATTTATAATTCCCTCTGGGAGAATCCTTTTAACACCGATGGGTCATTTCTATAATACATGGCTTCCCATAGGGATTCTACTTTCACCTTGCCCATCAGGCCTTCTGCCTTCTGTTATTCCCCTGGCTGCAGTGATCCAGAGACTTTGCTATACGTAAGTCTCAACATTAGGCCCGTTTCCACCGCAGGAACCTCGGGGTAATTTTATGGGGCTGGAGCCGTTGGTGCGTGTCTCCACCGCAGGAACCATCCCCGAAGGACAGAGTTCCGCAACTTTTACAGGGGCTAAACAAGTCCCTGCCTCGGAGTAGGTACTCAGAACGGCCCCGAGAAACTCCTGGCTGGGGCTTGGGGATTACTTGGTGCTGATTGGATATACTCAAGGCGGGATGTGACGTTTTGTAATTAATAACATGGTTATCGTAGATTAGCTGGGATAACCATTAGCTGTTAGCGGTGACTGTAATAACTCCAGCGGATATCTTAGTTACAACATGATTGAACTAGCAAAGCAGTTTTGTGTTGTTATGTATGGTGTTTATTCAGTTTTGGGAAATCACAATGTCTAGAAAGCATCAGTGGCTGCAGCTGACAGGGACAGCTAACAGCAGCAGCAAAGCTAACATCAGGACGTCATCTGTTAAAAGCCTCCCGTTGTCGGATACGACATGAAACTACTCCAGTTAGCTCAGTCATGTTGTAACTAAGACATCTGCTGGAAAAAATCTTTGTTTCACGGACCGTGACCGGAGTTATTACAGACAAGGCTAACAGCGTCCCCACACCCCTATGTCGCTTCGGTCAAAATGGTCGCGCAACGATTACGTCACATACAGAACCCGGTAACTTTACAGGAACCTTCCTCGTACTCTGCTCTCTCAGTGGAGACATGGCGGTTGAGAGGGCCGAGCAAAAGGACGTTCCTGTAGTAGTTCCTGCCCCCCAGATAGTACCAGGAACTTCTTCAGTGGAAATGGGCCTAATGCTGACCAATCAGAGCAGACCAACACATTCTCACCCAAGATCTCGTCACATGTTGCAATTGGTCATGGACTTTTGCATCCAGATACGATGTGCAAGGCACCCTGGGTGTGTTGATTGTTGACGTTCTGGGACCCCGTGTCAAGTTCGGCCTGTTACATGCATTGTCTTTTTTCAAATGCACTTCCGTTATCAAAGGAAATTTACAGTTTACTTACAGTCCCTTTCAAAATAAAGGCACTACATTGGTACAACATTGCAAATTGATGTTTTTTTTTCCTTCAACAACAAACGAACATGGTTGGGTTTAGGAAAAAAAGAACAGGGTTTGGCTTTATAATCTAATGGGATGGGAACACCGTTCTCCTAGGGGAAATTTGATGTTTGTTAGACCCATCCACCAGTGCACCCACCCACTCTACACGGACTTTAGCCGCTTTAACTTTTGTTCTTGTCCCCCACGTTTCCCCCTGATGCCACCGAGCGCCATTAAAATATAACGGTGACCGGCCACGTATCATGCCGACGTTAAAGGAGGGCTTTTCCCGATGCCGCAAGTTACCGGATGTTGACAACTTTGGAGTGAGACTGGATTGAGCAGACTGGGCTTTTTGGAGGGTGGCTTTAAGTGTCTCAGACCAAGGGTGAATACAGGTGTTCCAGCACAGACGGTATGAGGGAAGTAAAGGTGTTACAAATCAAGCATATAAACATGTTCTGGTAGAGACCTTAAATACAAGTATGGGCCTGAAAATGAGTATTATAGGGTCCCTTTTAAACTGTAAAAGTGTAAACATTTTACAGTACAGTCATTTTGCAGCTTCTTCCCCAGACTATTTTTCTGTCTTGGCTTACAAAGGAATGCTCTCTCCTCTCACTTTGTGCCAGCATTACACTCCTATCAATCACCAAAGACCGACAGGAAGAAATGGAAGCCTCCATCAGGAAATAATCTCCTCAAAACACATTGTTGCCCTATAAAATACATTAAGCTTGTAATGTGAAATGATGTGGGAAAGGCATAATTTAAAAATGCTTACAAGTATCATTGAGGAAATTACCCTTTTTATATTCTGAGTGATAGTTATCTATGTCTGAGCAAACAGTTAAATACAGCTACAACTTATGTTTAGTGCGAGCTCTTAAACTGGAAATAGTGAGGGAGGCTGATCTCAGTTTTTGTTGCTGTGTGCACTTCAGTATGAAAGCTAGGGTTGTGTTTTGGCACTTCACACCAAACCCCTGAGTGTGTGTGAGTATTTTTGGCAGATGCAGATAAGAGTTTCCTGAATTTGAGAAGCTCTCTGTATTTAAACAATCCCAAGGGATTAATCATTCAATCCGGCTGCAGGTGTTTGCGTGAGATTGCAGCTGGCGCCCCCGTTTTTTTTTTTTTTTCAGTGAAAATGAATGAAAGAAAACAACTTGACAGGTTTTGAAACTGAGGGGAACCAGGGAAGTTTGCTGGACAGAGTCAATACCCAATTATCTTATGCCAGTGCTTATTGGACTTTATCTATCTTGAGCCTGAGGGGACGAGCGCAAGGAGATGGAAGGAAAGTCGATACATCCTTCAAAATAATCTCTACACGGGCATGCCTGCAAATCACACAAGTTTAATCATACTTTCCTCCTGTTTGATTCAAATTCATCAGCCCTTCAGATAATTCAAATTCTATCAAATGATCTCGGATGTGGTGAACAAGTCACAGTTAACCTTTTCACTGAAATACAACAAGCATCACTAAATCAGACGACCAAACAAGGAGAAAAGCCTTTTTTCCCCCCTTCCGCACTTCCCACTTCAACTCAATAAAAGCCAGGAAACACAATTACGGTAAGAGAATAGCTCTGAGGAAAATAATGTGAGGACAACAATGGATGCAGTGGATGATAACATGTGGCACTTGGCTGCAGCATTTCAGTATGAGCAAAAAACAGATGCTGCTCTCTCACCTGTTGCCATAGTGGCTGTGTACATTATAATGAACAGGTCTGTGTGTGAAAAGGTCTTTGTGTTGAACTCCTAGAAATATAGAAGTGTGTGAACTGAAACACTCATCTTCTTTTGTGTTTGCAAAAAATAGATGTTGGGTCAATTCACCCAAATTAGAATTAAATTATTATTTCATTAACATCTTTATATGGAAGCCCTGAGAGGAAAAAAAGCAACCTGTGAAAACTGGTGTTTTTAGTAATATTTTTATTGATCATCTGTGGAAACAGGTGAATTCTTTGTTTTTCTTGATAATTTTTGCTGTGTGATACAGTAAAAAAATCACCTCTTTTCACAGATGAAAAAATAAACTTGAAAAAATGATCTTGGAAAAAAAATGCATCTGTTTTCAATGATGGGGAAAACAAACAAAAAAAAACCCAAACCCATCTTGCTTGCCTCTCAGGGCTTCTGTAACTTATACTATTGATTTGAATGATTGATTTGATTATTTATTTTTATTTACTGCTACTCTAATATGATTTAGATGATCGATATTTTAGTTGCAGTGCTCTCAAAGTTGAAAAAATGACACTATAAACATTTGGAACTCAAATAAATAGTGAACAGTTTCAGTGTTGTGAGTGTACACAACAGCCTTATTTGGTCACTTATTTGGTCAACTGTTTGTATTTCCCAGATATTTACATTTGGCTATGCCTTTAAAAGGCTCCTTTTGCAGAGAATTTATGCAGGAATGAATAAATTTTGTGGTGGAGATGAATGCTAAGAATGAAGGAGGGTGCTCTGAGTGCTGCTGAAACAATGCAGACAGACACTCTCTTCATGGATGCCACACAAAAAGAAAAAAACATCAAAGTATTTTGAGCATGGCTGTTTATTCTTGATGTTTGAGAACAGTAAAATAATCTCAGCTCAAAGGCCCATTTACAAGCTTTAAGAGCTCATACAGCCTTCATTATTCTGCACTCTACTGGGTCAAGTGATGATAGTCATATTTGAAGAGAAGATTGCAACCCCTGATTTAGGAATAATTTAACATCTCCTGAAAATATTTGTGCTCAACACAGTTGGTTTACTGCAGCTATGTAGAAGTGTACTTCAGGGTGTGTTAGTATAATGTGATGTCACTGGCAGGTTTAGTTACAGGTGCAGTAATGCAGGTTTGAAACTTCCAACCAAAAAGATTGCAGTGAAATACTGCTTTTCAGCCTCAGATTATGGTATGCCTTAAAAAGTCATAGCAAAGTATGTCTAAAAAAAATCCTTCAAACGTCATAGTATAGTATGTTGTAAAAAAAAAAAAAAAGACAGAATTGTATGTCAAAAACAGAACAAATAACTGATAACCCTTGATCTAAGATTTCAAAATGCTCTAAAATGGTTAGCTTAGCTTAGCTCCTGGTGGGAATTTGCCCCAGATCCCCCTGCAGAGCTTTGGGTTGTTAAATAGGTGATTTTCGCCCTGCACTCTGAAATGTAGTAGATGCTAATGTCACAAATGATTGGTTCATATTAAGACAAAATGGTCACACTGGCTCCTCATGTCCTGTTCTGTGCAGGTATCTCTGGACCAGTACCACACAGAGGAGGAGATCTACCAGATGTCTCTACAGAGAGAACCTCGCAAGCCAGCGGTGAGCAGCCATTTAATGTACACATTGAGATCCCATACTGGGCTGGTCTCAAATATCCCAAATTTGGCAGTGTTATATTGCTCTGCTCCTGTCTTAGATGATAGATCACATCACGAATACAATACACAAATCTTTGTTTTTCCTCTCTCATGACATTTTGATCTGCTGTTGTAACCCTTGACTGCTGCTCTGTACAGCAGCTGTCTTTTCTTGTCCTTGGAAGATGACAGCATCTGCTTCCTGGGATTGATACTGATCTAACCCTCTTTGGTTTCTCACTGGTTGTAGCAGAACTCCAGCCCCGCCCCTGCGCCTGAACCCAAGCCCACCATGATCGATGACTGGGCTGTGTCGGTGAAGCCCAACGCTGACCCGACGATCATCAAGAAACACATAGAGAAGATGGTGGAGGTGAGTGTGTCAGCCTCTACACATTCTCGTCTCTCAGCGCTGATTGTAACCTGAGGGGCGCTGGAAGGCTGAGGGTAAAATATCTGTTGTTATCCTCTCCACAATCATCTTGCCATGAGTACTGCCAAGTGCTCTTGGCTTTCTGGCCAAATGGTTGGTAATCTTGTACCATAATAACCAAGGCTTGGAGGGTCATCTGAAAACCGTGTAACACAAGCTTTGGTCCTGTTTTATGTTTTTTATTTCTTGGCGTTGAAAGAATTAATAGATCTCTGTGAGAGATCCTTTTAAAAACAGTGGTTCAGTTTGTGTAATGCATGGATTCCTGTTGGGATTCTATGAAAGGCCTGAGAAGCATAGTTCGTGGGCAAGTTTATCTCCTACATACAAGATATTATCTCCTACGTATGTAAGGTTATCATCTATGTAGGAGATGTCCTATAAAGGAGATCAACTTTTGGCCAGCACACTGAAACTAACCTTCTCAACCCTCTAATTCACAGTCGGTCTTCAAGAACTTTGACTCAGACGGTGACGGCCACATCTCCAGGGATGAATTTGAAGCGATCAGGAACAACTTCCCATACCTCAGCAAGTTTGGAGAACTGGACAAAAACCAGTGAGCACTCGCAAATTTATTCACTGCTGTAAAAAGTTCACACATTGAACCAACGTCACTTCTCTTTGCTTTCTCTCCCAGAGACGGGCAGATCAGCAGAGATGAAATGATAGACTACTTTATGAAAGCCAGCTCTCTGCTTAACTGCAAGATGGGCTTCATCCACACTTTCACTGAGGCCACCTACGTCAAGCCCACGTTCTGCGAGCACTGCGCCGGCTTTGTGAGTAAACACCTACTTCTCACTTGTAATCATGTTTTGAGCTTATGTGTTAGGGGCTGTTCATTACTTTTGAGGGGGTGGGTTGGGGGGGTTGGTAATTTTTCCAAGCACTGGAGAGGGATTGTTTTTTTTATTTTGGCTTAGGGGAAGGACATACAACTTTAAATGGTTGTATTTTGTATTTATTTCAAATACCATCTGAGCCTCAAAACCTGCTGGAAGGTTTAAACAGCATGTTCACTTTAAAAAGGGCTAAAATCACACCATTTATCATAGTCAGAAACTGTAAAACTGAAATTATCATTGGCTTTTAAAGTATCTGAAGATGTAATGTGCAACCAATCACTATTATTTTATGAAAAAAAAAGATAAAAATAAACATGTACACTAACCAGATCTTGTAAAAAACATTAAAATCTGCACTCCTGCATGCACAAAAATATTTGGAGCTTGGGAAGGGTTGAATAATAAAAAGAATAAAAGAATAATAAACAAAGTCCGAAACCAGCCATTCCTCCTAAGAACAATCCTTTACTTCACTATATAACCACCCTCAGTCCTAAAAATACAAAATACTTTGCAATACTTTTAAAAACTGTTTGCGATACAGAATCAGCTGTATGATATATAAACTCTTCAGGCTCCTGTGGAGGTCTTTAACAGATATCGATCTTTTTGTTGTTTGCTTTTGTGCTTTCAAATGCATCGATTTCTTCAATGACCCAATCAATAGCACGTGTCATAGTTTGTTAAAAAAAAAGGTCAAAGGTCAGCTGTGCTCACCCTGCCTTTCCACAGCCATGTAGCCGCGTAGACTATCCGCACTTCATTATTTGTCTCAGCAGTCACCGGCGGCGCGTGATAGGCTCATCTCTCAGAGGTTCCTCCTGTCAGGTCAGGGCAATGCCAATTACTTTGAGCTACAGCCACGCGCTGCTGAAGTTGCATTCTGGGAAATATGGGAGGAAGGTAATTGGGCGAGATGATAACCCTCCTCTGTGGCAGTGTTACATCTGTGTGTGCGTGTGTATGTGTGTGTGTCCTCTGGCCCTTAACATTCCCCAAAGTCCCCCAAGGATCTCTCTGTTATTTAGACACAGACAGTGAGTCAGCACTCAGCTGAAATGAGAACAGGAACAGAGCCCTCATATTGAACTGCAGACAATGAAATGACATCCCATTTATTTGTCTATGCTGCATATGTAAAAAAAAAAAAAAAAAAAAAAAAAGCTAGAGGAGAGGATGCTCAAAGAGAAGTACGCCATAGATTATATGTATAGACTTTCATTAACACTCAAAGGAGCACACATTTAGACACAGTCATTCTCCGGGGGAAGCTGGAGCATTTTCAAACCATCATGAGGGGAAACTCAGAATAGAGAGCATGGAAAGATAAGGACTCTGGCAGCATGCTTCTTCCTTTGAATATGTGTGTGTGGCAGAGGTAGATACACTAGCCACTTCCTCCTTTGCCTGCTTTGTGCTTCCCTCTTGGCTCCTGTGCAAAAACAATATTTTCCCGCAGCCCATTTTTCAGCTCTTGTCTCAAACACGGCGTACAAGCCAAGCTGGCCCTCCTGTAAACACTGCAGAGTTCACTCATCTCCAGTGTCGTACACGGATCGTCATAATCTTACTCCGCTCTGCCTGCAACCCTAATTAATGGCACACAGATGACTTTCACTAAACGCACAAAGCGAGGAAACACATCACAGGGTGTGAGATTTTTTGCATCTCGGGGGAGTACTGCAAGTTTGTAGCTGGAGGCTCAGAGCACTTTTATATGAGAGATTGCAGACAGCGATGCACAAGTCTCTTTGGGGCTTTTGACAGTTTAGTTTCATAGAATCAGAGTAAGAAAAGCAAAAAAAAATCTCTTGTTTCGACTTCTCAACCTGACTGAAAAATCGAGTATTTGAAAATGATCTCACTGGGGAAAATGGCTGTCTAGGCAATCTATAATGAAGCAACAAAAGCAGGCATATTCATTGTTCCTTTATGTGATCACACACCTACAGATTCATTTCCTTTTATGTATTTGGTGCATTTCGGTTCACACTGGACTGGCAAACAAACCTTCCATTAACATGTTTGGGTGACCTTATCCTGCTGCGTTCCAGATTTAGAGAGGGTCGTGCCAAAAACAAATTTGTTTGCAGTCCCTGTTACTTTAACCAAACACAATTTTTCTTCCTGTAATGCTCAAACCATTTAAGGACACAAAGTGTATGAGACTTAATTAACAGCTGAAACATGCAGAACTTACATAGGTTGCTCACCTACAGATGATTACACCGTCTATTTGTCAGCAACATGCACACTAAGTCCTCAGTTTCCACACTGGGTCTGTTCAGTCCTGTTTGTGCCATGCATGTGTTGTGGAGGAGGGAGAGAGGAGTCTTCGAATTTCACAAGCTGCAATTTCTTCCTTTGTGTTAGCATGTTGCAGAGGTGAAAGGGATAGCTTTTGGGAAATGTGTTTGCCAGGTAGCAGTTACCTTAGCATGAAGACTGGTAACAGGGGGGAAAATGTTATAAGAATTTGCCTCCCTGCACCTCTACAGGCTGTCCTCATGCATAGTTTGTACATATACCTACAAAAAGTAACACTGGTAAGAGCTGGTAATTCATGTATATCCAACGTAATCGCGAGGACTGTTATCACGTGACCAGACGGGAGTAAAGAAGGAATAAGTATAAAGAGCGAAAGTCTGCTTCAGGAGACATGTTGAGGTATTGGATGGGTCAAACCCAGGACTTTACCCCAGGAGACGGAGCTCTGGAATGTGTGAAACCAAATGAACTACGATTTATTTTAAAGTACGTCCTCACCATGTTTCTTTTCCGAAACCTAACCTATGTGACTTAACTTGCCTTGTCCTAACTTGAGTAACTTTACGTTAAGTATGTCACGTGACAAACCCCAACTGTGTTTCTCTGTGTGACTCTATGTTAAGGACATAACGTGACAACGTCATTCGTGGGACACTAATTCATTTGATATCATACCAACCCTTGTTTGAGATTTTGTTGACCTCTAAAGCATAAACTGTATAGAGTAATGGACGTAGCCACCATTATTAGTTTGTTGACTCCTATTTTGAAGCCTTGACTTTTGGAGCTTTTTGGCTGTCACCATCTTGGATTTTTGGAGCCAGAACGTGATGATTCCCAACCTTAGATCTTTTCCTAAACCATACCTTTGTGCTAACTTTGTGTTTAGTACGTAACTTTACATTAAGTACATACTGCGACAACGCCCAACCATATTTCTTTTCCTAAACATAACCTAAGTAGTGGGGCACTTATTTATTTGATATCATACCAACTGTTGTTTGAGATTACATAGATCTCTAAAGCATAGACTGTATAAAATAATGGACGTAGCTACTATGACATCACCTATTAGTTTGTTGACTCCTGCCTTGAAGCCTCGGGTTTGTCTTTTTGGCCATCTCCATCTTGGAGTTTTGGAGCCAGAAGTTACTTAAGGTGACCATATTTGGATGAATCTAAGTGTATGAGTTCTATAAAAATCCACCCCCCCGTACAGTTGTAATGAAGGTGCTATTAATACAGCTAATTAGCTATAGAGAAACTGTTGTACCAGACTGTAAACATGTTTATTTCTGCTGTAAATTTGGGCATTTCGACATGGTGGTCTCTGGGGATTTACTCACTTTTGAAGCCAGCCTTAAGTGGTCATTCAGTTTAGGACACTTTCATATTGGCTTCATTTTTCAGCTGCAGAGGTTGCCACTTGGTCTAAAGCTCACTAATTAACATGTTATATCTCGTACAAAAAACAACAACTTGTGGTTTTTACAGGAAATAAAGAACTATTTCTTGGCTGGGTGGAGTGACTTCCTGAAGTCCCTGCTGGTTACCCAACAACCTCACTGTGACAAGACTCAGCAAGATGTGTTAATTAGGGATGTTGGAGGTAATGGTAGGCAGTTTAATTGACCTTTGGACAGGCTAGCTGTCTCCCCCCTTCTTCAAGTCTTTATGCTAAGCTAAGCTGTAGTCTCATATTTAACAGATGGATAGATAAATGAACCCTAGCATATGCATTTATAACACCAGCAGGCATGACAGAACGAATTTTCTGAAGATGCATATACAAGTGTGATAAATAATAATATTTTAAAGTATGGGATGAACAGACCTCTGATAGGGAAGAACAGTTACAAAGGATCAAACAAAACTGCCAAATATTATATCTACTGTAGATACTGTACATTTCAAAGTTTAACTTGGCTCATTTTGTGTTTTCCTAGTACTGTTAATGGTCGATATGTCAGTGTCCTGAGAGTCTGTTAACACATTTTAAATCACTTTAAAACACGGTGGTAGCCAAATGCCAAAAATGTCAATGTGAATTTAGAAAATGTCAAGAGGAATCTCTCCTCACTGTGTCTGTTTATCTGCACTCGCTGTACGCAGGAATAGAGTGACATGTGATTGGTGGCACTCTTAAAATGTGTTAGGAAAAGATAGAAGGCACTTTTTGTAGTGAAATAGCAAAACATAAATTATTTACTTGAGAGGAAAAAAACCTTTTCCCTTCAGGGGAAACCGCTGTTGGTTGGCACACAGCTATGTTCTGGTCCTTTGAGGGTCACAGAAACAAAGATGTAACATCAGATTGTTTTCTTTCTTGTCCTGCACTCATTTAATAAAACATCTGAAAGTTACTAACGGTTTTTGGTAACATTTCAGTTTTATAATATTGAAAGTAAAAAAGTGGTCTGTGAACGTATTCTTAAACTGTGTTAGAGATATTGGAAATGTGTTACTGTAGTTAATAGAGAGAGGAATCAGCTACATTTTGATACAAGATTTGAAAGTCTGTGACGAGCGATTGTAGCTGACAGAATTTTGTCAATTTTAGATTAAAGACATTAGAGAGATTAAAGCCAGTGTTTACATAGCTAGTTGATTATTTTAAATAGTCAGTGGCAAAAATAATTAGTAATTCCTAGGGGTGGGAATCTCAAGGCACCTCACAATTTGATCTGATTACAATTCAGATTGCTACAATTCAATGATAAAATGATTATAGATGCATCATGATACGTCTTGATGCATCAGCATTTTTTTTATTTCTGTATTATTTATTTTTCTCACTGTGTGACTACTTGCTATTTTTAAAACATATCATAATATATTTGAAGTGATCCATAATGAAATAAACAGATTCATTTGCAGATTCAAAATGTATAGCTTTTTAACATTGTGCCAACCAACCCGGTGATGGGGCCGTGCATAAATGCAGAACATGACTTTTATTACAATGTACCTAATCTTAGAAAACATTTGTGTATGTTAAAACAATTTTTTGAAGTAGCGGCTTTAATCTACATGTTCTCACTCCGACCTTGTCACATGTCGACGTTCGATCAAGGCCTTTCCACATCGACATATGACGCACAAGGTAGCCTGGGTGAATTGGTTGTTGATTTCCTGGGACACCATGTCAACTTCATTCTGTTTACATGCATTGTTTGTGCATTTCTATTTTCACAGGAAATGTATAGGATGCGGTTGGGTTTCGGCAACAACAGCACCTGGTTGGGTTTAGGAAAAAAGAACAGGGATCGTCTTTACAATCTTAAGTAGGCGAATACGATGCTCCTGGTTGAAAGATGGTGGTTGTTGGACCCATCCACTGTCACACCCGCCCACCTTACTTGGACTTCCGCCCCCTTAAGTTACATTGCTGTCCTGCCACGTTTCCCCGATGCCGCCGAGCACTGTTAAACAATAACACCAACCGGCCACGTATCATGCCAGTGTTAAAGTACGGCTTTTTTGGCGGTGTCTGACGCTGGAAGTCCCTGACCAGGCACTAGTGTTCGACAATTACGAGAACGAGTAACCTTAACCTTTCATTTGCTGCTGGTTAGAATATTCTAACATAAATTATGTCAGTGGAAGGTGAAAAGTGAAAAATATGCCAACCAGTCCCAGTCTCTCCCACTTTGAATTTGCTGCTAAAATAAGTAAACATACAAGATTACATGAATGGACCCACAGTTATTAAAGAGTAATTAAATGCATTCTGCTTGGAAGATTTTATTTTAAATGCAATAACATCAAATATGTCAGCTCAAGTTTCATGCTCAGTCACAGTCTGCTGATTCAAAAGCTTGTAAGCACATAAGGAGACATTAGCAAAGGAATCCAAAAATATAAACATGAATACCTCTCAGAGTGCATTTTTGAAATTGAATGTGTAACTGCTGGCAGTAAAAGTAGCACATTTCCTCCACAATAAAAAGCAGGATTTGCAATTTTAGTGCCAAATCATTTCTAGATTTGTAGTACAGTTTTTTAAAAGCTTGCTGTAAAACCGTGAAGGAAATGTAGTGAGTTTGTGTGTCTCCAGCTCTTGTTTGTAGTGCATTGTGTTTTTCAGTCCACAGAGGCAGTAAAGGTCAGTCAGTGTAGGCAGAGCTGTGATGATAGTTGTGTTTAGATGTTCTGCTCGTAACTGACTTCTCTTTGTTGTAGAGCCTCCGGCTGTGTTCACCGTTTCCAACTGTGTGTGTCTTTGTTTGTGTGTATATGTGCAGCAACGAGTGTATGCGTTTGCATGCATGAATGTGTGTGTGTGTGTGTGTGTGTGTGAAGAGGTCAGGATATTTTGTGCCTCCTCAGATGTGCCAGTGCAGTGTGTGATCTCCAGCTCGGCTCTTTCATGTCATTGTTCCCCCCACTGTCTGTGCGCTCCCTGTGTCCCGCTTGATCTCGTTCCCCCTCCGCCCCCTCTGTCCCGCCAACCTCCTCTCTCTCCTCCTTTCTTTACCTCCATCTCTCTCTCTCTCTCTCCCTCTCTCTCTCTCTCAGCCTACATCCTTCTCTGTTCCATTATGCCCATTTTCTTCATTCGCCTTTTTCCTCCAGCCTTCACTCACTGCCTCAGTATCAATGGGGTATATCAGGATGTGAACTATATGGGTGTTTAAACATGTTTTAGACCATTTACTGCTAATTGTATGTACTATCTCTTTACTGCCACCCACTTCCTAAAGCATACGTTTTTAGATACATTTCCTTCCTTCCCTCGAGTTATTGGTTTCCATTATTTTCACTTCACTGTTCATCACAGCTTAGAGACTTGGTGGTGTCGACAAAAAGTCAGAGGCACAACATGTGAAGAGAATACTGTGTTTTAGTTATTTAAGAGCTGCATTTCATCAGCTAACACTGAATTGGAGGGACCCTGAACATACCTGCAATTTCCCAGTCCAACAGTCCCAGTTCACCACATTACACTGCAAATTTGAAGTCCTACTGATTTTAACAATGTAGCTAAATGAACAGAGGCTAATAGCTACGACATTATTCCAACATTTGACATGCCTAATAGTTGGCAATTACATTCGTAGCTAATGGGCTAAAAACTACTACAATCCTTCAAGCTAGTGTGTCAAAACTAGCAATCATACTTAAAGTGCTATTATCACGCTGTGAAAATTCTCAGTCCTGCATTTAAAACCTTACTAACTGCAAGTACAAGCATGTTAGCAGTATCGGCAAAATATACTTTAAGTATTAAAAGTAAAAGTAGTCATTTTGCAGTAAATCGTTCCCTGTGGTGTTTTACTGATATGTGATGTTTATCTGCTACATTCTGTGCAACAGTAATATTGCATTGTGCTGCTATAGATGATTAGGCTGTGCTAATTTTAAAGGTATACTATGCAGGATATTCCTAAAAAACAAACCTCTCAATCATCACTTATAACCCACTAGAAGTGTATGGCGGTGTATTTATCTGCAGAGACGCCTTCTGCCTGGTTTTTCTTCTATTTTTGCTATGTTTGGGATGTTTCTGGGCACAGCTTGCAGGTGAAGTAAGGACTTTATAAAAAGGTAGCGACCAGGTGCCAGAACATAGGAATCTCACGTCCTAAAGGAAACTAAGAAAAACGCAAATATAGTGAACACCAAGTGGACAAAGGTTGCTCAAAAACGATAGTGAAACTGGGGTTAGCTTTCACTTTATTTCTGGCGACAACAATAAGCTTTCTGAATTATTAATAATACATATGAGCATTGCGGCAGTAGTCCACCGTCCACAGTCAGCTTTTCACAGTGTCGGAAACCAGCCCTGTTTTCAGCTTTGTAATGATGCATTGTCTTGCTAACCTAAGAGGGTTTTTGAAGAGTTTATTTAGCCTAAGAAGTTGGAGAATTTTCTCAACATATTTATCACAAACATTCAACATACACACATGTGGAGACACATGATTTCTCACTGGACAGCAGGGGGATGAAAAACTGTAGAATTGTAGCACAAGAAACCCATAACAGAATGCCAATTCAAAGCTAATTCATATTTTTCTGTTCATTGCTAGCATTCTGATTATTCTACTAGCTATGTTTATTATTCTCTGCAGTTTTGCTTTGTTGCTAACAAAAATTAAATTTTCATACCTTATGACCACATTAAAGAAAATTAAATACTCTCCACCAGATTCCTAAATATCATTTCCAGTGTATGCTTACAGCTACAAAATATTTAGATTTTTGAAAGTACACTTGCTAAAAATGTAAAAAGCATTTAAAAAGCGGAGCATTTCAATTCTTAGAAGAGTGGACCTTGAACATCTACTTTCTGTCAGCTCAGATCTCTGTAATTGCCGCATCACTCTGATGAAATGAAAACACGTCTTAATTAACACCCACCCCTGCTGCCCTTTAATTTCTCTCTTTCTCTCTGCAGATATGGGGCTTCTACAAGCAAGGCTACAAGTGTAAAGGTAAGAGAGCAATGCACTCAGACTTAACCCTGTGTCTGTTGCACAGATGTGTGTGCTCCACGCAGAAGGACGAAGCCTTAAAAGAATTAACGATTCTTTTTTTGATGCCATTGAATCCCAGCCATCGTTCACAAACACATGCACACACACTGTAGACAAAGATCTGTAGAGTTGAAGTGCTGAGTAAATGTAATCGGCACAGAAACAATGGCAAATAAAACACACTGTTTTAATGTATGTTTATACACACAAAGCTCCCTTTGCTAACCATTGGATAAGCTCCATCAGCTGAGACCACACTACACATAATACACTATTATTTGCCCTTTAAAGGTTCCCAGTAGACCAGTGTTTGAAGAAGCTACTTCATTTCACGAATGTACATACACACAGGCAGCCTCATCCTCATTAGCCTTAAAAACACACACGCACTCAAACAGCTTGCCTCTTCTCCCTCTATGGGTGTGCCGCTGGTGGTCTGTGCTGACGCTAAAAATTAAGTAGTGATAATCTGCAGACGTTCAGTGCACTAAATAACCTGCGCTGCATATGTTTCCACACAGATGTCAAGCAAAAACTTTGGAAACGATGCCAAATGTAAAATGCAAATTATGCAAGTTTCCATCTGCTGGAGTGTTTGGAGAAGTGATTGATTACAGCTCTGCTTTATGAATGGGAGAGGTTTGAGTGGGCAGTTATTTTACGGGCAGGATTTCATTGTTTTGTCAATTGGTCAACAAATTAGTTTCAATTGGTGTTTAAACCACAAGGCTGTGTGTGTGTGTCTGTGTGTGTCTGTGTGTGTGTTTGTGTTGAGCCTTCTGCATGCATTGGTTTCTACATTTTTGGAAAAAGTGAAATATTACTGTATCAAGTCCAAGAATAATCTGAGAAAGTAGACCTACATGTATGAATGCATGTATGTATGTATGTATGTATGTGTGTCATGTATTCATGTTCTCCTTGTCCTTTTTTTGAAAAACAAGCGTTTCAATTACCAACTTTCTCTTATCCATTCTTATTCTTAGCATTAACTGCTTTCCCATTCATTCAGGTTCATCTCAGGTTGAAGCTTATTAAAAAGCTAGCAAGTTACCATCAAACATATGAGTTGCATAGCAACTAGAGTAATTAAGGCTCCTTGGGGCCTTTGAGGTCTTGTGGTCTAACAGTGCTCACCCTGTGCCTTGTGTTTAGGAGAAGAAGATTCTTATTCTATCACTGCTTAACTTCTTAATTACCAAGACATGTTCTACTTAAATCAAGTGTTTGTTTTTTTATGCCTCCACACCAGTGACAGCCATGGTCAGACACATTATGTTTTCTGGTTGTCCATTGATCCCATTCTCATGAAAGCAATAGCTCAAGAATGCCTAAAGGGAATTTCTTCAAATTTGGCACAAACGTCCACTTGGACTCAATACTAAAGTGATATGTGAATTTCGGTGATCATAGGTCAAACGTCAAAGTGACTGTGACCTCGCCTGCCTCATTTTTGTGAATGCAATATCTTAAGAATGCCTGAAGGAAATTTCCAAATTTGGCACAAACATCCATGTGAACTTTACAACAAACTTACTAGATATTGGTAGTCAAAGGTCAAGGTCACTGTGACCTCATCTGTCACATTCTTCTGCATGTGATATGTCAAGAACTCCTTCAGGGATTTTGTTATTTCACATTTGCAAACGACAACCAGTTGGACTCAACGATTAATTGACGAGATATTGGTTATGAGCTGTAGGAAGGTCAATCACTGTGACCTTCTTACAGCTCATTCTTGTGAATGCAGTCTTTCAAGAAGACCTTAAGGGAATTACCTAAAATTTGGCACAAATGTCCTCTTTGACTTAAGAGTGAACTGATGGTGGTTAAAGGTCAAGGTCACTGTGACCTCACAAAATGTGTTGGCCATAACTTGAGAATACATACACTAATTTGGACAAAATTTCATGCAAATGTTTAGCAGGATAAAATAATGAAGTGATGACAGTGTATATCCAAAAAGTCAACAGTGACATCATAATGTATTGAAAAAAAACAAAAACACTTTCTGGCCATTATCATAACTCAGGGACAGATGTAGAGCCATTTGGTCAGATACTGAATTAGTGACACAAATCTTTGGTGTCCACCTTGAAACTGTGCTGATTGTATGATCTTCTGTGTTGCCAGGGGGAGGATGTGTGTGAAGCATCCATGTTTTCCCAGACATGGATATAAACTGTTGACTGTTTCGCAGAGGTGAACAGCCATGAGACAGTAATTCTAGTTTCTCTGTAATTTTAGCTTTTCTGGTGCAACTCAGTTATTAAAAGACAGACATGCTTACATGATTGCTGCTGTCGAGACAAAAGGAGTAAAAAAAAATGGCAGGAATGTGAAAAGAGATTAAACACCCATACCCCCAAACACTGTACTTTCCCATCGCCTCTCCTTTCTGGCGAAGTGTATGTCTGAAAGTCTGACTGGGAGTGTTCTGGCTTGTTCCAGTGCATTAATGAGACCACAGGAAGTCAATGAGAGAGGCCGCTAGCCATTCATCCCCATTACCATTGTTAGCCCGTACTCAGGGAGGTAGAGAGAGCGGCAGGGACATAATTGAAATGAATCACCCTTCCTTCGCAGAGCAGGAGCAGAGTGTGTTGAACTCTGAATGTGTGCATGTGTAGTAAGATGTGTGTTTTGCAGTGGTAGACATATATTTACACTTTGAGAGGCATCTCACTGTCTTTGAATCAGCATGATGTCACAATCCCAGTATTCACAAAGACAAGTCTCCTCTTATCTTTGACCCTCTCTGTTTAAATGACTGTAAGTCAATACTATGGGACATACACTTATTCACGTTCTTGCAAAGGGATAGATGAGATGATCAATACCACTTTCACTTTCCTCCTGTTTCCGCTCTTTATGCTAAGCTGCAGTTGGCTAATCAGCTGTAGCTTCACATTTAATTGACAGTGGTATTGTTCTCCTCGTGTAGCAACTTCTTCTCAGCAATAAAACAAGAACACGTATTTCCCAAAATGTGTAACTTTTCCTGTAAGCCTGAACCCCTCCTTTGTTGTCAACATTTTACAGGTTTATTCTAGCTTTGGTTGATGTGTTCTATGTCCACTGAGTGGGTGGAAGCCAAAGTGATGACAACCAACCCAGTCACCAGAAGAAAATGTTGGCATTGTACGTTTCTGCATACCACAGATCTGTTACATTTGTACATTTTATATCATATCAACGTATAAGCTGACTTTGTCAACAGAATTTGTTGTGTTTCAGTGAGTCATTGTTGCATTTCCAGCTGCTTTTTAGACACCAAAAATACATTAGACTGACACGTCTGGGTACTCAATGTCAGAGCTGTACACCCTTTTGGAGGACAAAAAGCCAAAGATCTTATTGATGTCAATGCAATTTTGTGTGTGTTTAGATTATAACTTTGACATTTTTTTAATGCATTTATTTCTTCTTAAACATTTGTCTGAACCCTCGGACTCACCGGCAATCCTGTTCGACATTCTTCTCATTTAGAGGCTATAGAGGCTATAGAGGCTAGAGTAATGATACTTGTATCATATTAAACTAGAAGACTGAAGGCATCCAGTGGCACCAACCATGTTATGCTAGCTTCTAAGGAAGTGAGCCAAAAAACGCTCCACACTCAGGCTAAATTTTGGCAAGGGAAAACAGCATGGTCTTTTCACAGAGGTCCCTTGACCTCTCACCTCAAGTTATCTGAATGAAAATGGGTTCTGTGGGTACCCACAAGTCTACCTTTTACAGACACGCCCACTTAACGCTAGTCCCATGCAACTTTGGGCACAAACTATGGACTTCTTTGCATGCAGTATGAATTTGTTTTTGAATATTGCTTCATACTGATCTCGCTGAACAGTATTTGAATTGCATAACTTGGGTCTGACTGGAATGTGATGATGTAAGCCCCAGTAGTATTTCATTGTAATGAGACTTTTTTTTTCTTCAAACAGACATCACTCAATAAAATGACCTGTTGTGGCCTCTAGGATAGTCACAGTCTCATGAAACTTTACAGCCAAACACTAGAGACCTTAAGCATTCGGATGATGGATGGCTATCTTGGGTATATTGATGATAAGGTGGATTTATCAGCAGTTACCAAATAAATTTTTTTTTTTTAAATTTTATATACTTTATTAATCCCCGAGGGGAAATTCAGTTTTACACTCTGTTGTCAATTACACACAGGTCCGAACACACACATGCACAAACTGGACCTATACATACATGCACTAAGTGGAGAGATGTCAGAGTGGGCTGCCCATGACAGGCGCTCTGAGCAGCTGGGGGCTTCGGTGCCTTGCTCAGGGGCACCTCGGCAGTGCCCAGGAGGTGAACTGGCACCTCTCCAGCTACCAGTCCACGCTCCACATTTTTTTGGTCCGGACAGGGACTTGAACAGGCGACCCTCCGGTTCCCAACCCAAGTCCCTATGGACTGAGCTACTGCCGCTCCAAATTGCTTGCCGTCCAATTGCTGAAAAATGCAATTCTTACAGAAATGATCAAATATCAAGTTTTTGACACCAAATCAAAGCACAGTTTTTTTCTGTGGTGTTCCTCAAGGTCTTGGTGTCTTATTGTGGTCTTCTAAAGGGATTTTGACCATTGTGTTCAATCCTCAACATGCCTAAATTTAGCACCCAGCACATGGTATCAACTCCAAAATTGCTTCAACAACTTATGACACATAAATGATCATAGGAATGGCTGATTAATACTTAAGTTATAATGTTCTAATACTGTATATGATACAATATGCACTCTAAACCTTTAAAATCTGAATAGGAGCCTGACCAAAACAAAATGTTTATTACAGATTTATGATTAGAAAATCAGAGTGACACAGAGTGCTGAGCTGAATCTCATGTTAATCTTGAGGTTTCCAGCTTCCAGATGATGTATATCATTTCTATATGGCATATACTGTTGACCTGCTATCTCCCCCAGAAGATCCCTTGTCCCGCACAAAAAAGCAGACAGAAATGGGTCTACATGTGTTAAAGACATGTCTAATAATTGGTTTGCGACTTTGCCTGAACCTAAATGTTCACAATACCTTGATGAATTAAGCTTCCTTGGTCCCTTTAGTGTACGTCCATCCACGTGGGATGAATGACGCAGAGGCTGGATATTGCTTATCTGGACGTCTATAGTTGATTGAATCACTGTAATCACTGTAAGTGCCGTCTGTAAATAATCAGCCTGTTAATAGCCAACTGTTTGATCTAGGCAGAGATTTTGCTGTAGATGACTGATGCTGCTGTGCTGCAGCAGCTTTCCACTAAAGCTAACATTAGCTATCCTTTAGTTGTAACATAATGAATATTCACGTATCTTATGGGCTTCAAATCTGTGTGAAAACCTTGGTTAACCTGCTACAGCTTGTAGACATTTTTCCATTTTTCTCCTGATGGGACTGTACATGTGCATGTCCCACCAAGAGGGAACACAGAGATGATGATGTTGCATTGCCAGGCTTGCATTACTAATTGAAAGTACTTTTTGGAGACATGCTTTAACCTCCACTTTGTATGCTGTTGCTGTCTATGCTAGATGCTGGATCGTTTTTTCCCCAAAAAATGGCGTGGTGATGAAAGCCTACTCTGGATGATGTCTTACCAATCTGATGCAATATTTTTTTTTTTATTTTAACCCAAACTTGATCTCTTCCTAACCATAACAAAGTGGTTTTTGCCTAAACCCGACCACATGCCAACCACAGCGTTTTTGACATGTAAAGTTTCGTAAGGTTTCAACATATCTGCTACGTAATAATGTACAAATGTAACAAATTTGTGGTTTGCAGAAACATATTTTTTTCTGGTGACTGGGTTGTAATAACACAGCAAAGTCAAAGCAACAAACCAATTTAAAAGAGCGTTGAGAAGAAGGTTCTCTATCTCTGCATTTCAAGGTAGACGGCTCATCATGGATGCAGTGGGTCACACATTTCCTGACTGAGGGAGAAAAAAAAGTATTTTAAACTAGCCTATTATGCTGCCGAGGAGGCCATGACATGGGATCTTTTAAACACCATTGTGAAAGGTGTCTGAAATTTAAATGTTGAGGACAATCTTCTGCAGTGGTGTCAAGGAGAAATTCTGGTCATCATGACTGAACTACACTACAGCGTATGAGTGTGTGTTTTCAAGTTCTTTGACTCATGTTTTCATGATGCTTTGCTCGATTACCCATCGCTCCTCTCCTCTTAGACTCCCCCTGGTTGACAGAGTTGTTGCCAGGCACAGTCGGCCTCAGCGTGTGCATGTGCGAGTGTTCCTGTGTCTGTGTGCCGTGTCGAAACTCTTCCCCGTCACCACTTGCTCTGCCGTTAGCCCCGATGTTTCTGTTTGCACCCGTCCCTCTGTCTGATCCTCTCCGTCTCTCTCCCCCCCGTTCCCCACCTTCCCCTTCTTCCCGGCCTTCCCCTCTCCTCTTCCCATCTCGCCTCCTCTCTCGGCGACTCTCCCTCCCTCTCCCCCGAACTCCCCGTCCTCTCCTTCTCTCCCGTCACCTCTCTTTGCCGCCATCCCTCTCCCGCCACATGGACGCTCCGGCGGCAGCCTGTGGGGTTAACTGCCACAAAGCCTGCCGAAGCCGCCTGGCTGTGGAGTGCCGTAAGAGGACAAAGAGCATTAGCCACGAAACTCCGCCAGCCCTACAGGCCAGATCCTACAGCTTCCCTCCACCTGCTAACACCCCGCCAAGCCTGCAGAGCACAGGTGAGTGAATAAAGTGCTCATGGCAAACAGCCTCACAGTCTTAAAATTTGCAAAAGCACTGGCAGAAGAAACCCTAATGCAGCCATCCTCTTAGGAAAGTAAAGCTTAGAGAAATTCTTACAACACATTTTTAGCACTTCACTCCACTGCAACAACTTCACCTTTTTGATCGCTGCTTTTGTCTCCCTCCGAGCATATGGAGCACTGACATTTGGAAGATATTCTCAAACAATAGGGTGTAATTTGCAATGGAAATGTAATTGGCCCACTGTGGCGAGGCCAGTGACTCACAGGTGCAGTGTTTTCATCAGGACATTAGCAAAAGTGGTGCCCTGCCTGGCTTTAATATCACTGTGAACCCGTTTGATCAATGGCCCAGACAACGCTGCAAGACAAATGAAAAGGCACAGTAAACAGACGAAGGCCGCACATCTTCATTAGCCTTAGGCAGTGTTTTGCATTTTCATTTGATTGACCAATCTATTTCTCATTTCTGTATCTTCACCTTCTCTGTTTCCATCAGTAATTGCTGAAGAGGACATAGAGACAGTGGAGGAGGGAGTGTTTGATGTCCACCTATAACCAGGTAAGAGAGGCTTTCACTTCTGCTGCTAAAGAAAAGTCCTTGTATTCTCGCACTACTCACTGAATTCCAACTATGATTGTTATTGACATCATCGTCTGTGTTCCTAATCACCGAAGCAGCAAATATAAAGTCACATTTTATGAACATCTGCTCTTTGATTCAATGGTGACCATTAAAGGAATAGAACAACATGTTGGAAAATACCCTTGCTTGCCTCCTTGTTGAGAGTCTAAATAAGAAGATCTCACATCTGTACGCTAAAAACGTAGTTGGAGCAGGCAGCTGGTTAGCTTAGCTTAGCATAAACACTTGGAACAGGGGCTCTGTCTGAACGTAGTAAAATCTGCCTACCAGCACCTCTGAAGCTCACTAAGAAACATGCTTTAATCTATACAAAACCCAAAGTGTAAAAATGACATGTGGGCTTTAAAAGACTATTTCCTGGAGTGTTGTCACTGTGACACTGCCATGCAACCAACAAAGACTCTATGAATTTATTAAAATAGTGGCATACATAACCCTGGCATATGATTAGTGAATTTCAGAGGTGCTGGTAACCAGATCTTGTTTCATTTGGACAGAACACAGACTGTATAAAATAATGGATCTAGCCATAGTGAGGTCACCCTTTGGTTTGTGAACTCCTTTTTTGAAGCCTCAAGTTTGGCATTTTGGCTGTCGCCATCTTGGATTTTTGGAGTCAGAAGTTAGTTTATTTGGACTAAAGGTTTAACACTAGCGGCTAGCTTGGTTAGCACAGTGCATTCACAGCTATAGTTAACTGTGATGATGCTAATACAATTTTTTAATAGCAAAAAACAGGCCTAAAACCATTAAAACAAAATGTATTTATTAAAAAACTAAACATCTTCATCCTTAGGAGTTATGTTAGTACGACTAAATGCTGAATGAGACTTTTTTAGGTGACCAAAATGTTACAGTTAACTTAAATGCACTGAAAACACTAAAATAGTGACAGCTACGGCGACACCTATACTCTGTGTATCTGCGGTTTACACCATGGCTACATTACCTATCTAACATTGTTGCCATGGTAGCAACTTGTCAATGGATGGCACCAACCTGTCACTTAAGGCAGCCACACCCTTAATTATAAATAACTTTAAGCTTTGATCAACTAAAATGGGTGTGTTATATAAAAATTCACCTGGTGTACAGTTTGTTGAAATTTAATATTAAGGAAAACCATTTTACAGCAGACATAAACATGTTAGTCTCTCCTGTAAGGTTGGGCATTTTAACAGGGTGGTCAGTGGGGATTCATTCACTTTTGTAGCCGACCTCAAGTGGCTCTACGAGGAACTGCAAAGAACAGTTGAGGAACTGTAGTTTTTGTCACTTCTGTTTCCGATCTTTATGCTAAGTTAACAACAGCTGGCTGTAGCTTTTTTGACAGACATGAGATTGGTAACTCTTGGCAAGAAATGAAAAAAATGAATGAATAAATGTGATGGCCAGATGTAAAAAACAAACGTTAGGCTATAAACAAAGTACACCACATCGCCACCACAACGAGGTTGTAAAGCTGTGTTTGGGGTGATGACGGTCTGTAGTCTTATTTAGCCACTTGTTAGCAAGTAAAAGCTATAAAAACAAAATTCACAAGTGGGGCATTTACTGATGTATTTTAGGTCGTCAAAACAATGTACAAACATTATAAGCTTGTGTTAATCACAGACCTTACTTTGGGCATCTAACCAAAAACCAATTCAAAAAACCCAACGACTTCAAGACGAGGAAACCGGAAGTGAAAAAATGCTAATTTCCGGGTTTTAGGATTCGTTCTTGCAGCACTCTACAAATACAAGTTGCATATGAATATGGCATCATAGGCATTCAATCAAACAGCAGTTTTGTCTTTTCAGATTGTTTGATTTTAATAATTTCATGCAGGCCTGCAGATAGAAAACTAATCAGCATTTTATATTTTATTGACTGGAAAGGAAATCTGGAAAAAGGTTCTTCTTTCTTGTCTTCATTTGTTATTAGCCTTAATAAAGATGTAACATCATTACTTTTATCATTAAGGCCGATACATAAGTTGGCAGATTAACAATAGAACAACAGATCACGCCTAAGAGCTTAAAAGACCATGGCCTGATCAAGCTACAAGGGAGCCCTAGGGCAAATATGAGCAATTAGTTGTTTGCAAAAGATGTTTTTAGGAATATGTATCAACTGGAATAATAATAAGTCTTGAGGCTATATTTCTGACACAGGCACTAAGGATTATAATCACCACCTTAAGGCCCTTTATTATTTCAGTTGGTATTAATTGGTGCATATTCCCAAATCAGTTTGAGTAAGAAAACCACAAACCAGATGATCACCAGCCCCGTACGGGACGCTGCCATTATACACATTTATCACAGTGCTGATGTGTTTTCATGTAGATATATTCCTTCCATATTTAAACCTGTACCACTGGATGTATCAGTATCACAATCCTTGCAGAGGCCTTGAGCTTGTGTGTGATTTTGATGAACAGGCCAGAGACAGTCTCCAGCTCTCTATTTCAGAATCCCTCCTACGGTCGGTGTGCAAGAAGCCAAACGAGCGACTGTCGGGAGCCAGACACAGAATGTGCTACAGTATGTCAGTTCAACAACCCTCAACACTGATGAGAAATTGCACTGAACACAAGCCAGGATACCTACATGCTGCCACACAGTGGACACATACCGCAACGACAACACCAACTAACTCACATGAATGTGACAACCAATGTGAATGGAATGTCTTTGTATAATTTCTATGTACAATTTCTGCATTTTGATTATATGTTGGCCCAGAGTGTTGCTGTAAAACTTACTATATATATATATATATATATATATGAAAAAAAAATCCATAAAATTGTATTTCTTGGTGGAATGTTAAAGTCAGTGGAGTTGATAATTTGAGCGCACTTTGCTGCAAATTGGAATGGCTGTCTATTTTTTTTTTCTTTAAAACATAAAAGAGGTGCTGTTATTGCCAAGAATGTAAACTTGCCACCCAGACAAAGCTACCGTGTTCTTTGTCTGACAAGCTCCGCTGTTTATTGTTTATCATCTTGTTTTGAAATACATTTCAATGGACCAATAATAGGACCAATTTCGATGTCAGATAAAATATTGTTGATTCGTGGTGCCCGTCTGAAGCATGATGACAACAGCAACCGTTTGGCCAACAAAAGAAACGACTGTGTGGACAGTTATAATTAGGATGGACTTTGAACAATGTTATATTTTTGTCATGTTTACCTGAATATCAGTAACTGTCCTGTAGTTATTGCTGTGGTGATGTTTTCAGTATACAGTACTGTCTTGTACCAGTGCACTGACAGATGAGCTCTCCTTTTGCAGTACTGTGAATGTAGCACAAACAGTGAAATACTGCTGTCAGATGAAGATCTCATTTTCCCCAATAAAGGCTGTATGTTGACAGCAGAGAGCAGGAGGCTGGCTAACTTCCCACTGATTCTTCTATCAGTTTTTGAATGGTTTCTGGAGTTCTGACAGTACAGATAATCAAAAGAATAATACCCAAACGGAAGCTTTTCATTTGACAGCAGTGTGTAAATTGTATATTATTTCCCTGAAGATCTGTTTTGATGCAAGTTGTATTTTGCTGTTTTTAATCCTGCATGCTTCTCCCACCATAACTCTATATTCTGGACAGAGATCGAGGATTTTTTTTTATGCTTCAATGTAGCACGCCAAGTTAGCATTTATTGAGGAAACATGAAGTATTGAACTTCCAGACAGAGGAAATGTTTCTGTTGCTTTGTGCCTGTGCAGAGATGAATTCACACTCGAGTGCCATATTGTTAAGTGCTGGTTTGTCATTGAATGAGACTCTTCCTGTTGCTGGTATTTATTTTTCTGTATAAATAGCTAAATAGCTGCCGGTCCTTCTGTGTCGCCGCCTGCCTGACGAAAGATGTTTGTTGTCATTCTGTGAATGAATCTTTCAGACTGATGTCATGTTACTTCTTGTGGTCCCCAGACGATTCCCAAGTATTAAATGCAGCAGGCATCACTAATATGTGTTCTGGTTTAGAAAAAGGGTTTGTCTTGCCTCTCTTAAATGGAACGCTTTAGTCCTTATAAATCAACACTTGTATTGCAGTTCACTAGCAGCTGCTTTGATCTAGAAATACAGTCTGTTTGACTTACATTTCTGTTAAAGGAATATTTCACCCGCAAAATGACCATTAGTTACTCACTGCGTTATCTTGAATTTGTGAAGAAAATTATGTTTTTCTGGCATGCCTTTACGTTGAATGGATAATCCAAAAAATTCTTCATGACTTGAAGTAATCAGGGTCTGCATGTAACAACAGCAAAAACTGTATCAAAACATCTTTTACAAAGTCTCACACAACCCGGGCTGTACACTCCAAGTCTCCTCATTTACTGGATTCTCCGTTCACCGTGGAGGCATGTGAGAAAAACAAAGTTGTCTTCATGCATAACTGATTGATAATTTTGCAGGTTAAGTATTCCTATAATACTGGTCATTTTCAGGTGAAAGCTAACAATTTTATATGATTTTAATATTTTCAACTTGAATAACTCATGTGTAATGCTGCATTCACACTACATGCAACAACGCAACAGCGTAACCAGCTACATCACTGCAGAGTCGCAGAGTGTTGCTTAAGTGCTCATAAGCGCAATGGTAGTTACAGTACATTATCATGTGTCTACAACTTGCCACACTGTCATCTAAAGTTTGTATTCAGTCATAAAAATATCTGTGCTTGTGATCATCTCCATTTTAACATCACATTCCGCAGCCTTATTGCATCGCCGTGGTCACTGCAATACATGGAAAGCTAGGGCAGCGTTAGCTAACTGAGCTAAATAAGACAGTACCATGTATTATTATACATCTATGAGTACCACAGCTAGAAGCAACGATATATGATTGGTTGAAAAAAGTTGAGGCTGGCTCAGTTTTCATTTGTTAGCAGTGACGTGTTAAGCATCAGTTTGTAGCTTCATGTCACCAGCTTTCACTGAAAATGGTTGGTAACCTGTTGCATTGTCGCCTGTTTCGTGAACACAGCAAAAGACTTAAAGGGATACTGTTGCCAATTTTCAACCAGTTTTGTATCACTACATTGTGGGTAGTATGCATAAATGAACTGTGGTAAACTTCCCACCATTTAACTGCCCAGATCTCCCTACTTTTCTCCCAGCATTTTCCAATATCCAGCTGGTTTTTGCTGGCTCTAGGGCTGTTGCTTGAACTACATATTGTACATCCTCATTTTTGTATGCCCACCATCACTAACACTTAGAGTATAGAAGTGGATCGAGAGCGAGCCGCCCCTCTCTCTCTTTCTCTCGAACTCAGACCAAACTCTGATCAAATGCCAAAGATTCTGTTACTGCATGGCTTCTCACCTAAAATGTCTTCAGAAACATATTTTAGTGCACTGTTTAGCTCTAATATGAGAATTTGTGAACAGGAAGGGGGTGCCATACTGTTTCCTGTATTGTAAAAATGGAGGCTGAAAAAAATTGAGATCAAACGGTAAACCCAAGCTACGCTGATCAAATATGGACCAAAATTCTGTTACTATGTTGCCCTATTCTCACCTAAAATGTTCTCAGAATCTGTATCTGACCAACTACTGTTTAACTGTAATTTGAGATCATTTGTCACCAACTGGCCTCTATATTGTTGACTGTGTCAAAACGAATGAGTGCACATTACTTCACCCACCAGCTGGAGCGTTTATTGGCCAATAGTGTCGCAGTGCATTCTGGTTGTTTCTACCTCTTGAGCTGATGTGAATGCCACAGTCGTTTTATTCTGTTTTCTCTGGTCACGTAGCACCAATTTCAAAACTATTTGTGTCTTCCTACTGCGTAGACAGCCCAGTTTATGAAAAGACCATCTTTCCAGCAGTGAAATACTTCTTTAATCTCTGGGTTAAGAAATCTTAGGTTATTAAAACCTTTTCAAAACTCAACCTGGAAACACTTGTCAATTCAAACTCAAAGCAATTTTTCTCCAATCCTGAAAAGATGACATTTTGGAAATAAGGTTCACTTAACAAAAGCGATAATACTATTGTTGCACAGCCTTTAATCTGTCCCCGCATTGAATGCACAATTCAAAATAGTTCCGATGAATAAAACATAAGACAAAGAGGTCCAACACTGAGGCGGGTGTGAGATGATTTGGCTGGCACTCCAACTGCAATATTGCTTAATACAAAATAGCCCATTAGAATACCAGAATAGCCCACAGCACATTGTTACTTATTGATGCAACTACTTTATCATGTCGTAACTCCACCCTTTCCAACAGAAGGGTTTCACAGCAATTGCAACACAGCAAAATCTCAAACCACATCCCCTCCCAAAACATCCCAATCCCAGATGCTGAAATCGATCCTACAACTGCCACTGCACACTTCTGCCATCCTTCATGTGACCACGACCCAGTGTCCTCTGACTGTCTATTATAGACATTAATAACCAGCCCTGAATGAGCCTTGCAGTTGGTGCCACATCTAATTACTATCAGAGATGAAGTCAGTCTGGGCCTCTGATTGCCTGGCTCCCGCTCTGTATGTTCGGTTCAATGGGAGGACATCGATCCGGCTATATCCAGCCTTTGAGTTGGCTCATATCTCATCCAGCGCTATGATACCGCTAAATGCTCTCATGTGGGGCTGTGTCGGCTAACAATGAGCTGATGAACTGCAGAGGTGATGTGCTCATAACTTGGCCTATCGACCTCGCTCACACACAGAGCTGCTTTCGGTGTTAACCACACGATTATGCAACTGCGATTCAATCATTTCCTGTAGCTGCTTGTTCTAACAGTAAGGAAATCCAGGGTACATCATTGATAAACAGACAAAGAAACATTTACTTTTTTGTGTTTTCAATTGAGCTGATTTGCATGCTGAATCCACACAAAGAAGAAGGCGCCACGGAAGAGTATGCAGACTCCACACAGAAAGGATCAGGGCTTAGAAGCAAACAAAGAGGCTTCTTTCTATCAGGTGACATGCTAGGCAATGTCTCTGCAAGCAATGAAGTCAAGATTTCCAGATTTGTGTCTTTACCACAATAGCGGTCGATACAGGGTAGACAAAAAGAAGCGGGAGCCGTGCCGTAAACCTGACACTCTAACATAATATCCCCTTTGAAATATCACACTCCCCACATCTCCTCACTGCCACTTTTCCCTCCAAAGCCTACACGACTGCACCTTAAAGTGTGTGTGTGTGTGTGTGTGTGTGTGTGTGTGTGTGTGTGGTCATCGCTTCTGCAGCATCGAACGTCTCTTTTAGCTCAGTGATTGATACCTCCCATTCAGCTATAGAAAAGCCCTCCTAGCAGCACAGCCATTTAGCGGGCAGCCCTATGCGATATTGATCTGAAATGAGGGAAATTGAATAGCACTGCAGCTAATTACATAGTAATGAGGACAGGAGAGAAATAACCTCATTCATTGTTAGCACTCTCACACTGCGACCTTGATTGCAAGGAAAGGAAAGATTCAGGGTCTGATAGATGAAACGAAAAAGATGCCATTCGCCCCTTCAACAGATGGTACAGGCTTATAGTCCCGTGCAATTAGACAGAGATTGCAACGCACATCACCCTGATAGGCTATTGAGAAGGCTATTTGTGCCAGAGATATTGGCAGGTAGGTATTTTAGCAGCTATAGATACACATAAAAGGTTATCATGGATGGAGAAAAGGATTTGGCACAATGAGTAACCACATGCAATATTGATTTGCTTGAGCAGCACATCACTCTTAAATTTCCTCTTGTAAGACTAATGAACAGATTATTGATTTGATGTCCGCTCATCAAAAACTGGGACCGCCGCCAAGCTTGGCTGTGATTTGACGTCTGCTCGTCTTTTTGAACCCGCCATGACACCTGCATCTGCAATGCTGTTCCCCTTGCGGTGCACTGACTGCAAGCATCTGGAGCTGTTAACCTCACACCAAAGTGGGGGTCATGGGCATCATGTGCCACTTGGTGGCAATGTTGAGCTGTTAAATGGAAATGCGCGTGTTGTGGGGGGATTTCTACCAGGAAGGTGGGAGCGCTGCCAGTGATATGGCAAAAAACGCAGAGCCTCTGTTTGGGTTTATGGTGAATCACAATGCGGCTTCACAATGCAGATAACAGCACCACATTTCTCTGTCGTTTATATGTTGCTTCCCATAAAAATCAAACCTATGCATATGCACAAGCGGACACACACTGTAAATCAAATGAAATGTTGCTTCATGCTTGTTTTTCAAAAGCTGACAGTTCTCTTGCATCCTCTCGTTCGCCCCCACACACAGACAAACTGAGGAAAACCCTCCAGTATCACTGCAGCTACAACACTTGGCTTGCAGATTCTCACGTGATTGTGTTTCATCAGTTTTTGCGACACGTTCAAGTAAAAGTAATTTTTAAAAAAAAATCAAACAAAGTTGATGGCAAGCAAAACAAGTCAAACAGGCTCCAGTGGAAGTGCCTCTTGTGCTCAAATTCTGCTAATCTGGCGCGGCTCTGCAAACTCACAGAGTTGAAGCTCCGTGAGAGGGCTGCAGCCTTAATTGCATTAAGCTCATTGCTGGTGAAGCACTCAGCACTGTAGGGGGTTGCAATCCTCATTAGAGTAGAATCAGTTATGACGAATATTGCTTTAAGAAAATGTAACTTATGCTAAAGAAACCCGATGGGATGTGGCCCGGACCTGTTAGCTCAACGGTGTAATGATAAAGAATTAAAGAAACACTTCAATCGTCAGGTTTAATACTGCGGTTTCAATACTCTAAGACTTTTTAAGAGACTTCCTGAATTAAAGAGAAAAGGAGACAACGCTATGTGTTATACTTCTTTAAATGTCTTGTAAAATCTGGCTCTGATGTCTACAGAGGACAACACCAGAACAGGATCCCATGCTAGGATTACTATAATTGATAAATATCACCCTACCTGTGAATATGAGGACAATCTGAGTGAGATACTTGCTAACCTCTTCTACTTCCCTTCTCCCTGCTCCTGCCTGGAGAAGTCTTATTTAGCCATCACTGATACCAAATGAAGTTACTGCGGCCTGGGAGATTGACACAAAATCAATGGTGGTGCATCTGCAGCGGGGACAGCTCGCATATTTAATATTCCTGAGGCTGCAGGACAGGAGGGAGGAAGCAGGCGGAGGAAAGGATGGAGGGAAGTAAACCTCAGCAGCGGGCAAGTGTGTTTTGACTGATGGACCCGCAGATTGTATCTTGTGACCCTCACACTTATGTTTGTACAACCCGCACGGCCAGGTCGTGTTGTTGTCAAGAGTTCCCAGCAAGAAAAAAAAAAGAAGAAAACAAGCATATCCCTCTGCTTACCTTCCAGTCACTTTGCCTTTCATTCCTTTGGTTATTTGAAGATTTTAAACCAGGACTTTGGTGCATATAACATTCCTTCTTTGACGTATTCATGAAAGCATAGGTATGAGAGGCTATAAAAGTGTGCCTGCATAAATGACTGCAATACAGAGCTTTCTCTTAACACAGGCTCTCATCGCTCTGAAAGGTGAGGTATATTTCATCACTGAATGCATCAAATAGTCTGCTTTCAGTCCAGAGCACCTCAATAATCCTCTGATTTTAAGCCCTTTGTAGCTTAGTGTCCTTCATTTATTCATTTGTTTGTTTGATGTTGCTTATGTGTGTAGTGATGCTTACACAGTTTATTTATGACTGGAAGACATAGTTAGGTTTTGGTCTTTGGCACCTTTTACAATTTAAATTTAGACAAAGCAACATGAGGATCTGAGAGCATTGCTATCATGTTAGTTGATACAAGGATGCTGTATACAGAGAGAGACACCAGTGAGCTTGCAAGGTATGCACAAATGGCTAAACACAAATGGCAAGTGAATGATTCTGGCCATCCCTTGAATATCCCTTTGGTGCTCATTAGGCAAACACTTGGTGCTGATTATTCACACAGGTCAAGCTCCACGTGAAATCCAAATTTGTAAATATCTCAGATCAGCTGAATTAAACCTGCCTACTCTTGTAGTCAGTTCCAGTAAATTCAATAAATATAACCCAATGGGAAATATACCGAACACTGGGATACTGGATGTGAGTATTAGTTGCTAAATAATGCGTTGTGTATATTTTCCAAT